ACTACAAAACACGCTATTATCTAATAATGCGACATACCCAATTCTTATGGGTCATAACTAAATCGGTTATTTAATAATTATGTCTTCATATAAAATGACACTGTTTGTAATAATGAGCTCTCTCTTGTCTTATATACAATAAAGAGGTTATATAGAGGCTCATCGACTTCTCCTATTGCTTCTTTATATATTCGAGACATATCACAAGCACGAACTAAAATGTTCCTAATGTCTTTTATGCTTCTATGGGCAGGACGCAGAATAGTTTCTAGCTTTGTTTTGACTATTGCTGTCTTTCGATTCCCCATGAGTTGCTGAAGTTCTTCTTGTTTTGTTAACATTCAATTTGGGCATAAGGAAGATCTTGCATTCTTGTGTCCTTTTTGGTGGCAACTTGTACAAACAATGTCTTTTTCTTGCTCATCATTGTGATCGTATTTCGCCTTTTTCTTTTCTTTTTTGTTTTCAATCTTCTCTGCTTGACTCATCCTTTTTCTCTTGGCTTTACCCATAGCACATGGATGATGTTTATGAAGTCAAAGATGATTGAAACTTCCATTATTTTACCTTTGGATGAGGTTTGATGTTTCTCATTTTCTATTTGTTTTTTTCTTTCACACATTGCTTTAAGAAAACTACGGACTTGATCGCGCATTTTGTTTAAAATATGAAAGAAGAGATAAAGAATAACAATAATTGTAAAAGGTGTCTTGACATGATTTATTTTTAACAACAAATTCTGTTTGACGACATTTTTTATTTATCTACAATACTATGTTCATTTTGCCCTTAGTCTTTTCTCTCCTTCTCAAGTTCAATACATAAATGATACCAAATTTAAAAGAAGAATGTCTTCCTTCTTTTAAGTGTCTATTTACTTGTGTAATTCTCTTAGACAGAATTGTAAAGTTGTTGTCTATTGTTTTATCATTAGATAAAACAACTCATTACTCTCGTTTACAAATTATTTTATTCTCGGATAATGCAAGGCACTTTTTTATTTCATGAAGAAACAAATGTAAATAATGATTTGGCATGTATGCAGCATGGGCCTGAATAATGCTCTGAAAGTGCTGCTCAAATCCAGTGTTTTGACGAAGATTGCTATTGCTTCTCAAGGTAAGAACAATATCACGGAAACCTCTGCCACTATACTCGATTGGTATAACAGCAGCAATTTCTTCCATTGTTGGAAGGTTGTGAGTGCGTCTATCGCTTCCTTCAATTAAGCGCATTCTCTTTGATGGGCTGATAATGATGTATGGCGCACTGTCTTCTCTTTGATCATTACCATCACTGACAGTGTTGCTGCTGCTCTCATGGTTGCTCAATATCTCGTGTGCATGGCGATATATACGCGCAAAGGGGTTACATTGAGCAAGCATGACCGAAAGCTCCCTAACGATCTCAGGATCAAGGTTGCTGTTTCGTGCTTGTCTTCTTTCAGCGGCATTGGAAGGATCAAATATATATAGCTGTTTTTTCTAATTCCAGTGCATAATAGTGTGTTATGTGTTATGTGTTATGTGTTATGTGTTATTGACCAAAGTCCACAAACTGCCCTTTGGAATAGAAAAAACCGCCCTTTGGGAAAATTTATTAGCCGCACATTTTTTTAACAAACCGCCCTTTGGCGTTGGAACGATTGTATCTCTTTCTTTTTCTTTTTTTTTGTTTGTTTGTTTAATTTGAGGAATGTCATGTTTCGCAAGTTTAGTGAAAGGCCAACGAACGCTCATGCAAGTTCCTCACAAAATGTTCCAAAGGAACCAGATAGTTTATTTAGCTTAGAGAATACAAGCAATAGCAGAGGTTGGTTAGAGCCTACCTCGGTTCAGGTCAACCCTTCTCGCTCAATAGACAGGAAATCAAAAAAACCTAAAGAAATAGTCAATCAACAAGGTAAATAACAATGATGATACTAAAGCACAAGAGAGAAATCAAGCAATAACATATATCATCCTCAAGACGTATTAGGTGCAGTGTCTGATGAAGATATATTAAAATTAGCACAATTAACTGCAATATTGCCCGAAGTGAATAAATCAAAAAGAATACATAATAGACATCGCTCAGGTATACACGCACAGGATATTGTAATCTAAAACTAAGTTTATGATCTATAGTCGAATCCCAAACAAGGCATGAATATCTGGAAGATGACCCATCACCGATATCGCCTGACAAGATCACAAGTGATTTACCGAACATAAAGAGTGATAATAACAATGATACTAGCAATACAGACCTTGTTATGCTAGAAGGAGATAAAAAAAGGGCATCATGGCTCTACAAGTCCATACTTAAAAAAAGCAAGAGTAAAGGAAAAACGGAAGAATTTGAAGAATCATATCACACAAGACATTCAGACAGTAGCTCGATTTCATCCAACCATTCAAGCGAACATATACCAACAAGCATAATACCAAATGAACATATATCTAGAGTCCATACAATTAATATCGCTTCCACTTCCATTCCTCATAAACACGATATAAAAAACAGAAGACACTCCTTTGATGGCTTCCATTCGTTTACTAGAGCAGAACATCCATCTCATATACATAATGATAATGATTCAGTAGAAATACAACACCCATATGACAAAAGAATAGATAAAGAGGTAAAAAAAGAGACGAGATCCCCTTTCTGTAACTCTTTTATGTTGAAATCAATTAAAATGTTAGTATTTTTTTTGTGTAGAAAATTACAATACATGAGAACAACATGAAGAAAACGTTTATATTTGACTATGAATCATTACCTACTGAAGTAAAAGGCTTGATTGGCAAATACGAACAGAACGGAGATGTTATAAGGAAGAAGGTGATGCTAAAGCACATAAAGAACGATCACACTTATAAAGAAAATCAAGATAATGACGATGATGACGATGAAGATGATGATAATGATGAAATGATGAACGATATGAATGAGGACGACAGTGACAGTAGTGAATATGAAACAATGGATATCAAAAATGTCATCACAGGATATGTTTCAAATGAAGCATATAACGAGCCAAGAGAAGTCGCTATTGTTACAGCTTCACCATCAAACAATATCGAGTTTAGGAAACTGGCTCAACTATCAGCTGACACAGAAAATGGGCCGCTTCTTGATCTTTGCATATTCTTCTTTGGAGATGAAACAGATACGCATCAGGAGAATGTCAATGATCTGTTAACATCGGTGGAAGATCAATTAGAATCCTTGGAATCTTTTCAATCAGCATCTAGAGCATTCTTGGTCGAAAATGAAGAGGCTATGCGTCGTCTCCATCTTTCTGGTCTCACTGGAATTGCAGATCAAGACGATGCTGTTGAAATAAGAGATGATGTGTTTGAGAATAGACATGATGAGATACTAATAATGCTTCAGACACTTAAACATGAACTACAGAGCTTCAAAGGATCATTAAAGGAAACAAAAAGACTAATACAAAGAATACAACATGAAATGGATGATACAAGAAATATCATGGAAATATACATCAAGGATATACCCGAGTCACATTATTCTGCAGTAAGATATTTATTATTATTATTTTGCTTGCAAATGTTGATTTTATTTTTGTTCTGTAGCTAAAGAAACTTGAAGTGGATATTGAATTGATTTTATCAAGACGAGCGAAAAATCCCTGGTTAGATACTGGATATGCCATACTGTCTTATTTATTGACAGGTAAACTTTTTTCTTTCTTTCTCTGTTTGTTAATACTGACAATCCCATTCTAGTGTTTGCTTTTATCGTATGGGTCTTGATTTATATTCTGAAACTGGGTAAAAAGATGGTTTTATTCCCAAGAAGACTATGGCTCGCCTACTCAGATTATGTCATTGAACGCAACAAAGCAGTAAAAGAAGCAAGTATTCGATCCGTTGTTGGAGATACAACAACGTTTACTAATAATGAACCCATGTATGACCAAAGACTCAATCATAGATTTAATAGAGCTGAATAAAAATAATAATAATGTGTATAAAAGAGAAAATCGTGATTGATAGGAAATCAGGCTTTTTTTTTCCTGTTTTGTTTGAAACATGTCATTTTATGAAGAATATAGTGATACACCAAGCGGATCTTCTATATCAATTTCCTTAACAGAATCAACACCACTGCTCACAGGGAAACATCGATTGAGCGATTCAACAACGATCAGACGAGAATTGAAATGGCTCCTGCGTTATTCTCTACCTATCATCGGAACCTATCTACTTCAAAATTCATTTCAGCTATCATGCATTCTTACACTTGGCCATTTGGTAATAAATAAAAGCAGTATATCAAATGCATCTACTTATTTTCATGATAGGGACCTGTAGAACTAGGTGCATCTGCTTTAGCCTTCATGTTTGTCAACGTTTCAGCTTGGAGCATTGTCTACGGCGCAACAACGGCTCTAGACACACTGTGTTCTCAAGCATGGACAGGTGCGCAAAACAAAACTGTTTTAGGAACACATTTACAGAGAGCTTGTTTGGTACTCGGAGTGTTATTTATACCCATAGCTATTACTTGGTGGAATGTAGAATGGATCATGGTGAGATTTCATCAAGATCCTGAATTAGCTCATCTCACAGGTAATTCATGAAACACGCATCTTTTTTTCTTCCCTTTCCCAACCAAGTCTCATGTAGCATTGTTTCTAAAGTATCTTTTACCCGGTGTTCCTGCTTTTATGGGCTTTGAAGCCACGAAGCGATACCTTCAAGCACAGAGTATTATGCACGCATCAACCTACGCTATGCTTGTAACGGTCCCCTTTAGCTTTATGCTAAACTATTTATGTGTCTATCCATTCGGATTAGGATTTATCGGTGCTCCTATTGCAACTAGTGCAAGTTATTGGTTGATGTTTTTAGTGTTACTAGGGTACATTCGATATGTTCAAGGTAAAGAAGGTTGGGGAGGATGGTCTAGGGAATGCCTGAAGGGCTGGGGACCTCTTTTACGACTGGCATTCAGTGGTATTATCATCATCTGTACCGAGTGGTCAGCATTTGAAATCTCATCGCTCGCTGCCAGTTACTTGAGCACAACACACCTTGCAGCTCAAAGCATTCTGCTGACTCTGTCATCTGCCACCTATACAGTACCCTTAGGCATCTCTACAGCAACCTCGAATCGTGTAGGTCATGCTCTGGGAGCCAGTGATGGATACGGAGCTAGAACAGCCGCTATAGCTGCCCTCTTGTTTGCCATCTCATTTGGATGCATCAACTCCCTGTTTTATCTATGTACACATTCGTACATTGGCCGATTATTTTCATCTGACCCAGACGTTGTTGACCTGGTGAGCCATGTTTTGCCTCTCTGCGCTGTCTTTCAAATTGCAGATGGTGTTGCAGGTACAGGAGGGGGTATCATTCGAGGGCTAGGAAGGCAGAGTGTTGCAGCTTGTATTAATATAGTTGTCTATTACCTGGTCGCACTGCCCATTGGGTTCTACTTGACCTTTCAATTATATTGGTCCTTGATAGGTTTGTGGATAGGGTTGACAACAGCCCTGTTTTTAGTAGCAAGTATTGAAGTCATCTTTTTATTTAATGTGGACTGGTTTAATGAAGTCAAGAAAACTCAGGAGCGAATGAGAAGAAAGAATTGAATAAATCTGTACTTTTTTTTATGCAGGAGAGTCATTCCAACCTGTCAATAGGCTTGGTGCAACTAATTAAGCGTCTGCAGTACTGTTTACCTTTTTAAGGAGTACGTAATTACAAAAGGCAGACCTTATTGAAAATGAAATGGATACAATAGACGCTATGACCAACCCTCTCCATTCCGAATGGCCCGTAGTGCAATATCGGAAATCCTCGTGAAGATCGATGGGAGAATCGTGACGAATCTTGTAAATTGCAGACACAGGCACTTGGTTTCTCTCATGTGAAAAACCAATTTTAAAAAAGTATAACCTGTGTACCTGACCCTTCCCCCCATTCGTTCGCATGACCTTGACACCTAATTTGTATAATATGATTAACGAAAAAGTGTGGGTATTTTCAGCATTTTTACCCGCTGAAATCAAGTAATTACAACAGTAATGATATTTTGCTGGGAAATAAAAATATTTATTGCTGTAACCATGACCACTCACCCTTCATTTGCTATGCTGAGGTTTAATTGCTTTAATTTTCAAACAGAATATCATCATTATTTTTTATTACGCCCACGCGATACATTTGTAGTTGTACAACAACGAAAAAAAAATAACAATAATAAAAATAGCTTTGTTGTGTGTGCTCCTTGATAAAATAAGTCAATAATGATATTTTCTTTTTTTTTTCTCTCTTTTTTTTCTTGCTTTCTTTTCTTTGCTCCTTACTTTCTTTATCACCCCCTTTTTATTCCCCGTTTGTTACACTCTTTGTAACTAAGCAACAACACAATACAAAAAGGAACTAATCTAAAGAGAATGAATTTTTAAAATGACAAGTATATTATTTCACCAAGAACAGTTAACACTTGCCCTTCCAGATAAGGAAATAGAGGAAATCTTCAGTCTGCAAGGATCATTATCAGTAGAAGAGTCTTTGACTATATTTCAAAAGATTATTAGTAAAATATCTCACTGGTTAGAATCAGTACATTTAGCAGTATTTTCACTAGAGCAAAACATCAAAAACGAAGAAAGTCATGATGAAGACAACATATTACCCGTTCTTGAATCAACCATTCATCAAATGGCACCCTTTATTAGCAGTTTATCTGATCTCAACGATATCCTGTTGAATAAGGGCGTAGAAGAAGAAATAATAAAAATAACAAAAATACAATCAGAATGGTCAAGTCTGCAGCATTATTTAGCGTCTGTTAAACAACAAATATTGATCAACAAAGAACAACATGATCTTGTCTTTGCTATTGAAAAACTATTACTTCAAATTGACGATGTGTCCACCATGATGTTCGATTTTCAGGAGAAGAAACAGCAACACTCAAATATTATGTCACCTACGTCATCCTTATCTGAAAGAGCTTATAACGATGATCTTTTCAGTATAGGTAGTAACAGTGATAGCTCCACCTTGGTCACTATGACAACAAACTTTACAAAGGAAGATGGAATGATGGAAATAGATTCTGCATTTGAGTCAATTTTAAATCAAATTCAAATAGTTTATACAAGAATGAATCAAATTCAACCTCAGGAATTAACAAGAAAACGATTTGAAAAATTAAAGGATAAATGGGATCAATTACAGTCCGAAAGGGATGAACTCAAATATGAATATAAGGAAGATCGTTGGTTGACTGTGTTTAGAAGAGTATCTGATCAAGTTGATGTCATGATAGATGGTTTAGATAGGTCCGTAACTCAGTGTTATTCATTTATACAACAAATCAAAGAATGGCATAATCAGCAATTACAAATTCAACAACAATCAAATTACAAATCATTGCTAAGGCCATTTCAACAACAACAACAACCACAGCATTGTCCGATAGATAAAGAAAAGTTCAAATCAATTGAAAAAAGCTTTGAAGCAAAATACAAGTATTATACCCCGAGTATTGATCGTATGCTTACTATATTAGGTAATGGCATTCTTTCTCGTGGATCAAAAGACACCATTATTCAACAACGACATGAATCGATGCTTCAAAGATGGACTCATTTGAAAAATGTCATGAATGAATTACGGTTAAGAGACTTGATGGATGTTGAAAGGATGATCCTGGGAAGTTCACAAAAGAAGCAATCTTCTTGGAAAGAAATAAGATACCGTACCCCTGAACCTGAAAACACAAAACCAAGGCCACAACCCTCACTTCAACCTCCTTCTTCTTTACGCGGCAGTATATCCGATTCGTCAACTTCATCTCAGCACTTGAGAAAAACAAAGACACCAAGGCCCACACGCAATGAAAGTATTCAGAAAAGAGAAGATTTTTATGAGGAAGATGAGCGTCATTTTGGCGTAGATTTATTCAAGTATCAAGCAAATAATAATAATAATAATAATAATAATCAAAGCAGAAGAACAAGGATTCAACATATCGAAAGACCATCGACGACGCAGGATATTAGGCCAAGAGCCAAAACTCCTGTGAAAAGAAGCTTAAATCATCAACAATCGACTGTTGGACTTCGTTCAAAAAGTAGTTTAGGTGATTTAAGAATGGATAGAGTCATGTCTCCTTCAGTAAGGACGCGATCTGTCACTCCTTCATTAATACCAAGGCCAAAGACACCAAAGGAGATGTCAAGAGCTACCTCTCCCATGATACCCCAGCCCAAACCGACCGTAAAGACGATCAAATTACCACCTGTACCTCCATTGCCCAAATATGTTACTGATAATCCCTCTGTCATTCGAAGAAAACAATCCATGCCTGTTCTTCGCCATAAAACATCTAATATTGAAATATCTGTACATGAAGACTGTACGTACCATCCTGATCCAAAAGACCCTCTTGATGTCGAAGTAGCGCAAATCATGAATGCGAGTCCCATCACGATTCGATGTCAACGAGCAGAACCAGGAAAGTACTACTTTGGAAATGAACTCAGTTTATCTTCTATGGGCGGTAAAAAGCTGTATACTTGTAAATTGATGACATACACCAATAGAAAAGGCGGTCAATTCAAGAATAATAAAGTTCTCATACGCGTGGGCGGTGGCTGGCAAGATCTAGAATTCTTCTTGTTGGAGCATAGTTCATTAATGGCAACAGATGTCGTCGTGCGTTCTTATGCTGGAAACCAGCAGCATCAGTCTGTGTCTGATACAAGTTCACGCTCAAAGGGCTGGAAGAATTAAATACTTTGTACAATAAATACATGTTTGTTTGCATATTCTTAAAGGGACAATGCTTAAAACTCAGTGCATGAGAGCACACAATTTGTGTAATTAAGGAGAATCAAGTGCGGCTCGGAAGGGAGGGGGGAGGAGTGATCACATTACAGACCGGTGTTTAGGCAAAGCAACCAATGACAATAATAAAGAGTGGCACTTGTTTATATACTCCCTTGAACTCTGGTTTTTTTTATTATTATTCATGGCAACTGCTATTCAAAGATTCTTTGGTAAAAAGACACCAGATGAACTCGTAAGAACAATCATGTAACCCCCTTCCTTAATTCTTTACCTTTAACATATATTCATATATATTGTGCGCCCATAGGTGAAGAAATGGAGACAGGAAATCCGTGCACAACAAAGAAGCATTCAAAAGCAGATTACAGCTATCGATAACGAAGAGGCCAAAGTAAAACGATCGATAAAACAAGTTGCCAAGAAAGGAGATGTCAAAAATTGCAAGATGCTCGCCAAAGAATTAATACGTTCTCAAAGACACAAGAATAGATTATATACCAGTAAAGCACAACTGAACTCCATTATAATGCAATTAGAACATCAACTAGGTTTATTGTCATCATATTAGTAAACAGGAGAAATTCTTATATATTCTTTTATCATAGCCACTATTAAGGTAGCAGGGTCACTTCAAAAGAGTGGAGAAGTCATGAAGTTGGTCAACCAGCTTGTCAAACTACCAGAGCTATCTCAATCTATGCAACAAATGTCTATGGAGATGACAAAAGCTGGTCTAATGGAGGAAATGATTGGAGATACGATGGATATGATGGATGATGATGATATCGAAGAAGCTGCTGATGAAGAAGTGAATAATGTCCTATTCCAGATTACGGATGGTAAATATAATTTATACTCTCTGGAGCACAAAATAACATTCATTAGGTTTACTTGGTCAAGCAGGAACAGTGGGCCCTACCCTTGAAACAAAGCCAGTCGCTGAAGAGGAAGAGGAAGAAGAAGAAGAGGAAGAAGGCCCGGAGTTGGATATGATGCAGAAGCGCTTACAGGTAATTAAAACTATAAGTTCTTGGCAAAATGACCAACAAAAATACGTGACATAGGCATTGAAGGGGTAAACAACACTACCCTGTGACATAATTTACGGAGAATACGAGATAGAGACAGACAGAGAATAAAAGTTGGTGTAACTATATTGAATGGCTCACAATAACAGAAAAAAAAGAGGGGATACTTGATCAATCAGTGACAGAATGAGAAAGTACTTTGTTAAATCTGATTATACACATGGAATGATCACTTTATAAAAAGGTTTCTCTTCTTCAACACGTCTTGAATACAGCGTTCAAGGGAACCTTTTAACAGTGTGAGAGTAAATTTTTAGCCAATCGTTGAAATTTCGGACAAAAGGAAAGTTTTATTATGCGTTTAAACTATAAAACCAAGGCATAGAGCTTCTCTTCTCTTCTTTTTTTTTTTTTTCTTATTAACTCGCTTCATTTAAAAAGATGGCCCTTAACAGAAAATTGAGTAAGTCGAGGCGCATAGTGCTGTTAAGCTTGTTATTTAATCCTATTAGCTTTATATACCGGTGCTGAAGTTCCTCAGATCGGCCTTGGTACCTGGCTTTCTAAGCCTAATGAAGTAAGAGATGCAGTAAAATATGCTCTTGAAATTGGTTATCGTCATTTGGATTGTGCATATTGTTACTGTAATGAGGACGAAGTGGGTCAAGGCATTCGTGAATCAGGCGTACCCCGTGAAGAGATCTTTATTACATCCAAGGTATGTAAATGATGTCACTTGTTTATTGATATATTAACGCGGTTCATTAGTTGTGGAACACACACCATCGTAAAGAATATGTGAAGGCCAACGTACGCGCAAGCCTTAAAGCTTTAGGCGTTGATTACCTTGATCTTTATTTGGTTCATTGGCCAGTTTCATTTGTTGTAAGTGTAAGCATGCGCTAGGCTTTGATTAAGCAGCTCAAAATGAATCTAATAGAACCCTGGTGCTCCAGAAGCTACGCCAGCTGTCCCTAATATGGATTACATAATTCCCAAAAAGTAAGTAAAAAGCCAGACAGGAGTAACATAACAAGTGACTTGTGTATAAAAGGGATGGTAAAGTCCCAATAGATCATGTAGATGATGAGGAAACATGGAGAGCTATGGAAGAACTTGTAGAAGAAGGCCTTGTTAAGGCAATTGGTAAGTTACCATAAAGACACGCAAAAGCAAAACATAACAGTATATATAAGGCCTTTCAAACTATAATATCGAAAAGACCAAAAAGATACTGAGCTTTTGTAAGATAAAGCCAGCAATGAACCAAATCGAGCTTCATCCTGCTCTTCAACAGCCCGAATTGGTCAAGTTCTGCCAAGATAACGGTATTGCCGTTACAGCTTATTCTCCTCTTGGAAACAATGTCTATGGTGAAAAGCGCATTGTGGACGATCCCATTATTGTGTCTGTTGCCAAAAAATTAAACAAGTCTCCAGCTCAGGTCTGTATCTCTTTTGCTGCGCAAAGGGGTGTTATTGTCATCCCCAAGAGCGTCACACCTAGTCGAATTAAAGAAAACTTTCAAGACTTCGTTCTACCTCAGGAGGACTTTGATGCAATTGCTTCCTTGGGTTCTCGAAACATTCGTTATAATGATCCTGGTATCAGAGACTGGCATGTTGATATTTTTTAATGTTGTATGCAAAGGACCAAGAAAGATTCATAATAATAAAATGGAAAATAGTATATCATTGAAAGGAGTTTAATAGATCAGTCCATACATTGTTGTAATTATACAAGGGTATGTGCAACTCCTTTGGCAACTAATTTAAGGGTTTGCCAACTACAAAGTGGAATATCTTCCAGGGCGATTCACAGAGCCTCATTGCAAGAACGTTTTACCGTTAGCTTAAAGTTCTAATTTATCTGCAAATTTAAAGCTAAATTAGACTGCTTTGCTTATATATAGTGTTATCATCAGCTGCATATTAATAGATGCTTTAAGGCAGACATGAAAGCATACAATCCTTTTTTTTTTCCTATAAAACGAGTGAATAGAAAGAAGAAAGATAGATAGAATCAATGTCGCTAACAAGGGAAGAGTATAGTAATAAAGTTTTATATTAATATCTCCTTTTATCAAGTCATGCAGCCCCTTCTGCAAGGTAGTCCCTTTATTTCCCTGAGGAAATAGAGAAAAAGAAAACCAACATATTTTTACTTTTTCTTTCTTTCTTCTATTATATATTTTCTTTTTATTACTTTAATCAAATGGAAAAAAGTCAAAGCTCATTCTATCTTTGGTCTCCTCCTCCTTTGGATTTATCGCTTGATTCCTTTTCTGCTGATATCTTGAATCAATTTGAGAAAAAAAGTCATAGTATCGATATCAATGAAAAAGGCAGGGACTCGGAAATATATAGGCGTCATAGCAACACAACTGCTGATAGCGGTTCTGATAGTTCAGAACAGACAACTCCAAGATTACAAGAAGACCAGAATAACTATTACTCCTGCGATAGCCCTATTCGATTCTCCTCTACCATAGAACGTGCAATATCACCATCTTTGATTAATGATGGCGAAACCAGTCCAACTACGAACGTATTTCGAAAATCGTCTACGTTTCTAAAGAATAAACTGAGTATTTGCAGCAACCTCAGGAGCTCAATTGAAATTACACCCGATTCTAGGATATCCCCAATTACAACAGGTGCAGACAAGCTCACTCGTCAATATCCACCAAAGCCTTTGGAGTACTCCACAGTTATTGAACCACCTTCGGAAAATTTTGACTCAATTCCAAGTGGAAGTTTAGCTTCTAGTAAAAGTAACGAAAGCATTGAATCGAACGAAAAAGAAGAAGAAGAAAAAGAAGAAGAGGAGGAGGAAGAAGAAAAAGAAAAAGAAGAAGAGGAAGAGGAAGAGGAAGAGGAAACAGCCAACGTACTTACCCCCGCCTCTCCAATATCAGAATATGTTAACACGGAGGCCGATGTCGATAATAATAACAATACAGTCCCCCCAACTACTAAGGAGTCATCAAAAGATAACTCTCACGATAGCAATACAAGAATTGAATATGACGCACCTACTCATAAAGTGAATAATCAAGATATCATAGCTGTATCATCTGTAGAGCCAATGAAATCAACTGGCCCCTCTGAAAAGCCCAAGCGTTCTATTCCAGCATCACCAGCGCCTAAACGAAGAGGATTCTTCTTTTTTAGGTTTTGTTAAACACTAATCCTAAAAAATATCGTTTTTCGTACCCTTTTAATCGCACAAGGAATAAGTATTCACTCTATATAATATAAATTCTTAATAAAGATAGTATAATAGTAAACTACACTTTATAAATAGTCATTATTCATAAAGTAAAAATGAGGCGTTAATTCCTTGCTAAAAAAGAAGCTTTTTTTCACCTCCCTTTTTTAAAAGTATATACACTATCAAACCTGCGTATCATCGACTAATTGCTTTAACTCTAAATGTATATACTATAGGGGTTTACGCTTGTTATTCGAGTACCCAAACTTGATATAGCCTAATACTAGTTATTTTATAACGAACACAAAAGGTTAATAGCACATATTTAGTGATTATGCTGTGGGTCAATTCTAAATCAATTTTTCTTGGAGGGATAGCAAAAAAGACTCGAACCATTGTTTGTTGCTTTCACTTCATTGAGCTTACGTTATTGAAAAATAGCAGCAGCCTGATGTCCAACAAAAGGTAGTGAGGATGGCTTTGATTGCTACAATTAATTCAGCAGAAACTTCGCTTCCAAGTGAGGCTACTATACTACTTGTTAATAGACTACTTTAAAGTCTTTCAACTATTCGTAAAAAGTCATAAGGCAACTTTTAAAGCTTTTGTTATCAGACAGTGTCCATTGCTACTAATGGTTGCAGGAGTAGAGTTAGGAGCAAAAGCAGGAACAAAACTACTGAGATTAAGTTGGCCAATCTTCTCATTGTCCTTGATAACGTCCCTGAATGTTAAATATTTTCAGTAAAGAAAAAAAAAAAAAATAGTATGTAGTAGTAAAATCAGGCTGTATTCGTTGAAAAGAATACCAAAGCATAAGAAGCTTCTTGAACACAATGCTTTGTTCCTTAAGTAGAGATGTAAGATAGCCATAATAAGTAACTACCAGAATATTGAATAGGCTTCATAAATCGAAACATTTGGTAAGCTTTTCAGTTTCTTGTCATTTAAAACTTACAAAGTCGCAGAATAATTCTTCATACAAAAATTGAATCGTCGTAAAACATACTTTGTATATCTCACAAATTTGAGTGTAAGCATAACAAAAGAATCTTATTTTGAAATTCTCCACGATATGATTGATATACAACACTGCTAATGTGACGCATGCCGCAGACAGACAACCATTGTGCCTCTTGATGCTATGATCTTTTCGACTGTACACTATCGTTGAGAGCTTGCCTTTGAAATCATCAAATGCCAAAACAACAAAGGTTTCAACATATGCTTTGTTTTTGACCTTTTCCCCTCATGATCAATTAACAAATGGAATACCAAAAGTTTTAGCTCTTCAAATGATTATGATCCATCCTTTCCGTATTATTAATAGTTAGATGGTTTACAAATAGCTGTGCTCTGAATGTCACATTGCGTAAAAACCCTGATATTTCAACAATCTTTGAAGCAAAACGAGCATATTTTTCGCGTAGAGCTGTTTTTAAATACACTTTACGAGCATATATTTCATAGCCTTGGTCGCATTCTCTTTTAATAACATCATCTTTTGTAGAATTCTTTACTCGTTGCCAAGCTTCACATGAACTGGTTTTTTGTTTGACTCATTGATGTAGGCTAGGCAAGTAAAAGAGTCGGGCAAAACACTGGATTGCTTGTGCGGTGCGTATGTAGACGGTTGCTGGGTTAGCATGCAAAAGTTCGAAGGCTTCGTCCTTTAAAGCGACAGGTAATACGGGACGGAAACGGAAAAGGAGGATATCGGACTCGTCCGTTAGTCCTTGGGTAAGAGGGGTAGATTTACGCAGGTTTTAGCAAAAGAAGCCAGAAGCCTGAGAAGCCACTAAATCGGCAGTAATCAACGAGCAAACCAAGGTAGAACTAGAAGAAAAATCCACAGGATAACGGTCCTAGGACCAAAGTTATCATGGCCGGAAAGACTGTAAGAATTGAAGAGCATCGTGATCGGTATCTTACTACGATGGATTTGCTTCAACTGGACGATCGGAATGCCCTACGTTTCGGCCAAGGTGCACTTCTTGACAGCTTTCCAAGTATGACATTTAGAAATGCCAGCATTAAGAAAAACTCTTTTATAGTAAAACAAAGAAACCCAGAACAGCGTATTTATTGATCGACGTTCCTTAATCCATTTTATATGGATGAACTATAAAATTAACAAGATTTATTTCTTTGAAATTTGTGTATATATCTTTTTGTTAAATAAAAGAAACATAATTGTTTCCCCTTTTCCATGAATCGATTGACAACAATTCATGGTCTATATGATCATGCCATAGTCCAACCAGGTTGATCTTTATTCCATTTCCTCCCCAAGTTTTGATTTAGATCACCTTCTTGAATATTGTTATGATGCTGGTGCTGTTGAATTTGAGGAGGTGAATGATGAGCAACACCGTCCCATTCGAGATCTTCTGGTCTATTATATGAATGACCTCTCATGAGTCTATGTAAACTAGAGACGCTTGACCTTGCATGTGAACTATTTATAGAAGACGATGACAGGGACGTTTGAATATCTGAAAATCTTATAGTGCTGCTGTTGCTTCTTCTATGAGTGTGATGTGGCTTTCGAGATATCTCTTCCTGCCAATCACCGTCTCTTTCTAGATCGATGGTTTGTCTGTTACCAATAGAAGACATTCCTGCCCCAACCCACCGTGGCAGAACTTCCTGGTTGCCTTCTAACCTAAAGCCACCAAAATTGGTAAACGAGCCTTGTTGTTGTTGATGCTGCTGTGACGGTGGCTGATGTCCATAAGGATAGTATGGGCTATACAGTTGTGCTCCATTCGCGTTATCTACAGCTGCCCATTGGATTTGTGGTGGTACCTGCATTGTGCCGACTGTATTCGCTCTTGGCCTACCACCACTTATGGTGATACCGTTACTTGTCTGTGGTGCGTTCAGATGGTTGCTGTGACTCGACATGCAATTATTGCTCAAGTCAAAGTTGGAAAGATTGCTAGGTAATTCTGGGTATTGATGTTGATACTGATTAAAAAGATTGTGCGGTGGTTCCAACACGCTTGGCAGTGGAGGTATAAATGACATCCGCTTGCTATGACTATGACCATGGTGATTTACCGTTTGTTGTTGTTGCTGTTGTTCAAAATGTGTAGGCAGCGTAGAGTAAGCCGAAGATAAGTACGTGTCAGAAAATGTTGGCTGAGGGACATTATGCTGCTGCTGGTAATTCACGCTTTGCGGTACAACGTCATTACTTTGCAAAGTAGATACATGTACTTGTTGCTTTCGTGGTATATAAGGAGGTCGGAATGGACAATCAAACTTTTCTCCCGTGATGAATGGATGTTGCTTTGCTTGTTGTGGTGACCATCTTTCTATAGGATTGAGGTTGAGTAATCCTTGTAGAAAGTCAACGAATGCCAATCTGTTTTGTGTTTCTAATAAGAACAACATGGTCAAGATTCAAAATTCATACATAACTTATTACTATCTTACCTTTATCTATTTCTCTTTGAGACATTTGAGATTTTCGCATGATTGGATAATTGTTGATCAATTCTGGTAAAGTCTTTGCTGAAAAGTAGCGTTTTGATGGTTGTTCTGATTTGCCTTGCTCTTTAGAGTATTTATCTATTGATTTTAAGACATATCTTTTCTTTCCATCTGGCATTATTTCTCTCTCAAAATATCGGTGTGCATTTTTTCCTACTTCGATCATGTAGTTTGGTGGAGATCTATCATGAGCATGAGTATAAATCAATATGCACATGTTTATGTATATATATATATAATATTTACCCCAACATCTCTACAATTCGTGACAGTTGATTATACTCTGAGTTGCCTGGGAATAGAGGTAAACCTAAGAATAGCTCTGCAGCAATACAGCCAAGAGACCACATATCTATTGCACTAGTGTATGGTAAACCGACAAGTACCTCGGGAGATCTGTAAAATCTTGATTGAATATAAGTATAAATTGTTTGTACTTCATGACAAGCTGATCCAAAGTCAATCACTTTTATAGTAGGTGATTCCAAACTACATACATGTATAAGAAAGAGTGATTTAGAGAAGGGGACAAGACCTACTTTTTTAGTAATATATTCTCGGGCTTTAGATCACAATGTATTATGCGTGCTTCATTTAATACAGTGAGTGCATCGAGTATTTGAGCTGTGAATACTCGAACGAGATTAGTTGATAGTCCACGGAAATGGTTTTGCTTGATGAGTTCGTATAGATTGACGGATAATAATTCAAATACGAGGCAAAGGTGTTTTCTGTGTATAAAAGTGTCTCTCAGTCGTAATAGATGGTGTTGATCGTGTATGTCATATCGTTGATTTAGCTATTAATTTTTGTACATGTATGTACACATATATTAAAATTCCTGTTATATATGTATATATACTTTATCGCCTTTCTTTTTTCAAGCATTACCATCTCAAGAATAGCCACTTCCATCATACTTTGTTTAAAGTATGCCAACTTATTTTTGACCACTTTGATTGCCACTACTTCATCTGTTTTTATATTCCTGCATTTGACTACTTGTCCAAAGGTACCGGATCCAAGCACATCCAAGATAACATATCTAAATTCAACAAATGAGTCAAGGTTAATTTAACATTTATTTGATCTTACTTGTGTCCTTCAGCGCTCCCAAGGATATCATTTACATATAAAATATAATCATAGTCCTCGTTATCGTGTCCGTCATTCTTTGCTGGCTTACTGGGTTTTGTGAGCACTCTTCGTGGGTTGTTTGTTTCACTGTATTTAAATCCATGATTGCATGTTTGATATGTTGTTTTTAGTTCCACAGTAAGCATATAGAGTGGCTATAGAAGCATAATAATCAGTCAACCAAACTATTATACAATAGATTGCATACCCCATATCTTTTTCTTTCTCGTAACCTTTGATGATATGATATAGGTAATTCATTATGAATTGATACTCTTTTAAAAGCGCTGGATAGGATAGGTTGAGAAGAAGAAGGGTAAGACCAAGAGCGATTATTTTCTTCCTGTGAATTGAGCTGAACAGTTGTAGGGGAAAATGGACAAGAAAGAGGAGAAGAGGGCTGGTAAATAGGAGAATAAGATAGTTGTTCAATAGTATTAGCTGTTAATTTTGGAATAGAACTGCTTGGTTGTTTTTTGTTATTTTGAGGCAATTCTTCGCTAATTGTAATTCCTACATAGTTTGTATCTTGATATTTAAAAGGAGAAGAAGAAGCTGATTTCTCAGTTAATAAAGGAGAACTATCTTTTGAACTCTTTCTTTGTTTGTTTCCAAATTCCATGTCTTTAAGTAAATTAAAAGAAAAAAAAAATGCGTCTCTTGTATAAAAATTAAAGCAAAAGGGAAAAGCACACTTTTGGCACACTTTCTCTTTGGGCTCACATTCATATTTACACTCCGCGCAAATCAGAATATAAATTGAAATGCACTTACGGATATTTATGCCTTTTGTGAGTTTGAATGGCCTGCTGAAAAGCTATGACGATTTCGATGAAGAAAGTCTGAAAGACATTACGATTTTCTTTATGGCTATAATGGGATTAAAATGCGAAATTTAGGGTTTTGCTATTTGCATAGTGCATCTACACAGCATTTGCACAATATGTGACGTAAGCAATACAATTTACACAGCAAACAATTCTACATGCAACACTGAAGTATAAGACAACCATATGTCGATGAGTCTGTAATAATCTCTTTATTATGGTGAGACGAGACAGAAAGAGTTTGTTAAAAACAGCGTCATTTTATATGCAGGCAGCATTATTACCTGAATTGATCGTAACCAATTAGAATTGAATATGACGTGTCTATAAGAATAACGCATTTTGTGGTCAATCTTTTTTATATTTCTCTTTCTTCGAATAATCTTTTACAATAAGATGAAGTACTTTAGGGTAAATACGATAAATACTTGACAAACTGATGAGTGATTGGAAAGCACTTTCTATAAGGTCAATGATAAATTCTAGCAGCATTAAACATATCCTGTTTGTTGAGGTTTGAATTTGGCATTTTGGGTAAGCCGAGTGACAGATAAAATACTTTGCTTCTTCAAATATGACTATGCTAGTCTGGATGCTGTACTTAAAATACAGTCAACTAACCTTAACGAATACAAGAAGGGAGTATCCAAAGTATGAAAAAAAAAAAAAGAAGCAATAGCTAGTGCTGTTGTTCTGTATTTAGAATCCTCAGTTTATTGAGAATTTCGATCTTTGTTTTTATACTGTGCTTCCTGTGATGGCTTCTTTGTCAGCATTTATTCTAAACAATTTATGCAGAAGTTGCAGCTGTTGAAGAAGCAAAATATTTTGGCATTACTTCCCAGACTGTCTCTGGTTTCATCCAATATACGAAATTACTCTTGATCTTTGTCTTGTACTCGGGTAAATCAGTCAGGAATCTATCCAAACCTTTTCCTTGACGCATGAAAAATACATCTGTGTGCCTTAATCTTGTTGCTGGACAAAAGTCATTCTTGCCATCACCTGTATAGGCTATTCTCTCCAAAGGGCCGTACTTTCTTATCAAGTGATCAATCTCGCGTCCCTTACAGATATTGACAGAGCAAGGGTTACTGCAGTTATGAGGTAAATCAGTCGGTAAAATGTAGCGGCGGACGCGTAGTCTGCCTTGTTCATCTATATATGCAGGGTTGGTAATGATTTCGGTCACACAGTCTCTAACACCGTATGCCTAGTATTGTGTAAGCATAGAGTACATACGATTACTCTCGCTACCTTTAATATCGTCTCAATGTAAAATGTATTAGCATCTGACAAAAGAATGACAGGCACCCCCTTGGCTTTCAAATCAAATAGCACATTGCGCATTTCCTCAGACTATTACAAGTTATTTTAGTCTATATTAGTCCTCGTATCTAACTTACGAATGGTATCTTTTTCAGTGTTTCAATGATATCCTCTTTTGTTATTCCTTTGCTTTGTAGAGCACAGAGAGCATAGTCCCTAAAGTAAGAGGGTTAGTTGTGTTTATGCTAACTTGATTATAATACTTGCATTAAATCTGTCCACTGCATTGATTTTTCGTTTTGAGCTACTTCGACCCATACCTCAGGTGAGAGACTATGGATAGTCCAATAGTCACTGTCCTCTTCGATAAGGGACCTATGGGTGAAAGTTTAAACTATTGTTACTTTACTTTATTAAAGGTATTATACCAGTCAAAGTCAAATACAGCAATACCTGAAGGCATTGAATAATAAAATATACAAAAGAGAGAAGAAAGAGTAAGCACTTTTCAGCATCTGCCAATGTCATCCTTTTTCGTCCTTTTATATTCAGCCAATCAAAACTGTTTTTTTGATCAGGCTAAACTCAAAAGGTGGTTGAATTTGTGGTTTTTTTTTTTAAAAAAGGGCCAATTGAAAATACAATATCTTGATAGTGCATAAACCATGGCCATACGTCGCAGTACACAAAAGACAGCAGCTGCAATCGAGAGTCCCACTGTGGCAACAAAAAGAATAGCCACAAAGAAAAGCCCAGTGAGTGTGAAAAGAGTGAAATATGAAGTAAAGATGAATCCTGCACCCTCAATAACCTCAACACCACCTTCCAATTGGGAAATTGTATACAATAAATTAGAGGCATTTCGTGATATTGAAGAAGCACCTGTTGATACAATGGGTTGTGAAAGACTAGCTGAAGCAACAGCATCTCCAAAAGTAATAAGCCATATATATATATCAATCTCCAACAGAAAAGATCATTAAGTTAGGTTTACTTTAGGTACAGCGATTTCAAACCCTAATCGCACTCATGCTCTCATCACAAACCAAGGATACAATAACAAGCACAGTCATGATCAAATTACAAAAAGAATTGCCCAATGGTCTAAATCTTGAAAGCATCTTGAATATCGATGTTGAATCGTTGGACAAGATGATCAAGTCTGTCGGATTTCATAGTAAAAAAGCGAGATATATAAAGAGAACTGCAGAAATATTACGTGATCAGTATGAAGGTGATATTCCTGATACCATCGAAGGCTTAACAAGTCTACCAGGTGTTGGCCCCAAAATGGGATACTTGACCTTACAAGTGGCATGGAATAAGAATGTTGGTATTGGTGTAGATGTTCATGTACATAGGATAACCAATAGATTGGGCTGGGTTCGTACAAAGAATCCAGAAGAGACTCGCTTGGTAAGTGCCCCCCCCCCTCCTTTTGCTTAATATGTGTAACGAACAAGATGATCTAGAGTTTACAGTCTTGGCTACCTAAAGATAAATGGAGAAAGATTAATACTATCATGGTGGGATATGGTCAAATCGTCTGTCTACCACAAAGGCCACGATGTGATATATGCCCAGTGAACGAATACTGCCCTTCTTCAGAAGTGAAAAAGATTGTTAAAAAGCAGACTAATATTATTAAACAGGATGATGATAAGATTAAAATGGACAAAACAAAGGAAGAGGCTACGGAGGCAGTGTACTTTAAGAAAGAGTTTGATGATCAACCATTAGAAAACGATTTATAATAAATAATTAATAGTTGAAAAACTGACGGAACTTGAGTGGAATGATGTTTAAATGTTTCTTATTATATTTCTTATATTTACCCTGCTTTCCTCCTTTTTTTTTCATGTCAAAAATAGATAAACTAATCACCCTATTAAGATTTAAAAAGAAACAAATAGTCATGGAGAAACAATATGAGCCAAAAGAAGATTCAGGTAGGCTGATAAAAGAATATCTATACACTCTTTGCTGATTTTAATAAAGTTACGCTTGGTGACATGTCAAGTATGACTCCTAACGTAGAGCAGACTGAAAAGACAAACGAATTGACAACAAAGGAGGTAGCAACAGCTACTGTGAATGAGTTGATAGTAACAACTACTCCTGCAAACGAAAAAGAAAGGAAAACTACGAAACCCGATGCATTGCCTAACAAAGTAACCGAAAGAGTATATCATTTTCGACAAGCTATTATAGCTGAAGACACAAGCAATCATCAGCCAACGGCCAAACAAGACATTAGACAGCCAGATGAGCGAAGGAAAGAGTTGACAGTAGTAGATGATAAAGACCATACACATCATACGGAGGATAAAGACGATAAATATGATGACAATAAACAGCACATACATCATACAGAGGATAAAGACAATAAATATGATGATGATAAAGATGATGATAAGGATGATAAAGATGATGATGACGATGATAATGACGAGGATAATCACAAAGACAATGATGACGATGATGATGATTTGGATGATATTTATGACAGAATAATGCCAGCTATTACATCAAACACTATTTCAAAATTCACAATGACCTCTGTTGATCCTATTGTCACATCTTTTCTCGTGGGCTATGGTGCTGCAGCTGGACATGCAGAAGACGAAATAGATGGTCTAGGACTGGTTGGTATGGTTCAACCTTCAGCCGAATTCAATTCAGACGCATGTAAGGTTAGTTTCAACAGCTTGCTAACATTATGGATATGCATTATGACAATTTATTGCCTTTGGATAAGACGATGTTGATACCTTAATAAATTTATTTATCCTTCATGATTCTCGTACATTTAGAAATCAGAATCAGTAACTTTGAATATTGTTTACATATGTAAATTCATCTGCTTTTTTCTCCCTTTTTTTATAAGGCTATATGGTAAACTATCAAGTTTGTGAAAACGACTTCATTTTTATTTAATTAAATATGATGGCAAGAAAGTGCAGGATGCAAATATTTATAGTTGACACGGAGAATTTTAGGCACCAAAAAGGCGTCTTTCTCAATAAAGACTGGATACATAAAACAAATAATGCGAATCAGTCGACTGAAGAACTTATCAAAGGAATAATTAACGCTGTCGTGATAACTCTACGTGGAACACGTTGGAAGAGTTAAATGTTATCAAATTAAAGATCTATGGTGAAGATTAAATGTTGTCAGTTGTTTTCTCTTTTGGTAAAGAATAAAAGGTAGAATGTATGCTTTATTATAAGGACATAAACTGATAGATAACATGTTCAAGTATTGTGCTTATAACTCGAATAGATATATCTTACTGAGATGCTCGAATCTCATGTAAACAGCCCTTATCGCATACATATAAAGTTGCGTTATTTAAAAGAATAACATCTCTAGTAATTGCAACTGTCATTCATCTGGATTATTATGGATTTGAAATGATGAATAATATCAGTTTAAGATGCAGCTGATCATAAACAAAGTATGTAAATTGAAGGAAGCAGATTTACGACGTTTAATAAAGTTATCTGTTTTATTATGATACTATATACATGACTTATTTGAAGATATACTTCATGCTCTCTATTTTCTTTCTTTCTCTCTCTTTTACTTTAATCTTTAAGATGAGGAACATGCCTTTCTTGTGATGGATGGTCAAGAATAGGATCTATCTCATTTGGTACATGACGGCTGATATCATATGATGGAGGTATTGTATTGCCTTCAACTGTCGTAGACGGAGAGGAATCAGAATTCATGCTGTCTGTAGTATTATTAAGTGCAAAGTACGGCTTGGTATACAAGTTGTTATAGCTCGGATCAACTGTATCTTCATAAAATCCATTTCCAACATACTTTGACTCCCTTGTATTTGGTTCATCAGCTACTCCTTGCAAAGGTGCAATTAACTGTCGCGGAACTAGTCCGTTATTTAAGGGATTTGCACTGCCAGAGACATTTGGCTCAGCACAAGAGTATTTTATATTTGATTCATTATCTATCGCATATGCTTTTCCATACAAGTGACTGTGGCGACGTCGACGTCGACATAGCAACAGGAATAACAATACTACATCATCCGTTAGTTACATGTGTACCTTATGCTTTAAATTTTTATTTCTTACCAACTAAAGCAATCAAAGCAACACCACCGCCCACGGCCCCACCAATGATGGCACCCGTATTTGTATTACTATTGTTATTTGGTTTTTTCGAAGACGAAGTGGGATCATTGTTTGGTATTGTACTGACTGTTGAATAAGTTGGGATATATGAATAAGAGGTAGCTGTATGAGTATAGACAATCGTTCCTGATTCGGTTATAGTAATGTGAACGACATTATCTGCCTTTTGTTTTGCCTGATCATCCTTTGTAGGTATGTATGTATGTATTGATGTTGGAACAGGTGGGGCAAATAAGTTGATAGAGCTGTCAGGTTGTTGTATTGAATATGACATATAGTAAGGATAATGACAGAAATTATACTTTAGATGCTTATATTACACAAAAAAAGACAAGTAACGATGGAATGAAGATAACACAGAAGGGGTAAAGAAGGGAAAGAAAGAAGTATAAATAGGAGAATAAAGAAGATGTTATTACTTTAAAATTTCTTCCAATGACATAAATCACTGGGTAAATGCGGAGTCAAATCCAAAAACCAAGGATTTCCGATGCCATGTTCAGTTTACAGTCGAATAGAGTCTAGAAGGTTAGAAAATTTATTTTTCCCTCTCTCTCCCTTCAATGAGCAGAGCTGTAGCATCGACAATATATGACATGTTCTATAAATACATGTTAAAAGCCGATCGCTGTTCCTTAAAATAGAATAAAGTCAATTTATTGCTTTGCATTACACACAACAAAAAGTGTAATTTAATTTACATGAATAAAAATAACTCACCAACATTCTAAGAGTTACATGACACCTGATGCAGCAAGGATGAAATGGTGACTCTGCACAGTCATCTTTCTTTGATAAAAATAGATAGGTTGATAGCACAATGTCATGTAATGTTCTTCAAACCGGAACCGCGGAGTTGTCAAGATAAGTTGTACCTTATGAAAGCACACAAAGAACCTGTATCAAGCGCGTTCTGCTTTTCCTAGTCCATGAGCTGTGGACGGCATCAATTGCTTCTGTTGATAGTCATCCTGTGTAAGATAAGTCAAAGAAGTGAAACTGTAACAAGATATTCTAAGATAGGGTAATCAAAAAGAAAAGAGAAAAACACACAATAACATATGAATAGATTTAATGCATTTAATTTAAAGTAAAATTATAGAATTTAGCGATATTTTGGCTAATAGTGTTGATAAAGTCTTTAACTCCCATAAACGCATTGTTGTTAGTAGGACCATTGACTGCTTGTGAAAGAGGGAGACCTTTGGCGATTACAGTAAGAAGATCACGTGTTTGATTAAAGGCAGCAGGATTCTTCAGGACATAGCTAAAGTTCATGCGATTCTTATCCACCACTGTGGCTGAGGCAATTGCACGTAAAAACATGTCCATATCAAGATCTTGAGGAACCCTTCCGTTCGCAGCTGGTATGTTTAATGCCGCTAATGCATCAGCAAATGCACGACCCACACGAGGAACTTGAGCATCCCAAGCAACATCTTCTTGGATCATCTCAACAACACTGTTAATGAAATCATTAGTCGCCACAGGATTGACAAGAAGCTTGGTAACATTAACCAATGTTTCTTCAAATTGCTGCTTGAACTCTGGAACTTGAAGCATTTTGTTGGACAATGGTCGACTGTAAATTTCGGGATAGGTTGAATAGTTGCCGGTTATAAACGGTCTTATGTCACCTGTGGCTGAGCCCAAGGTTAAGTCCAAGTCTGATGGAATATAGATGTACTTGTTGGATGAGAGATCTTGATAAACATAGTAGTTATTGGCATTGTATATGTATCCGTCATAATAACCATTAAGAATTTCAAGTGCCATGGCGCGAATAACAGAGTCCATATCTAGCTTTGACTTCCAGGTAGCCGCTGCATCAGAGCCACTGACGGGAGCATCAGCAATGAACTTGGTCAGCTCTTGAAGAGGAGCATAATCTTCTTTGTTACCAGCCTTCATCTTGTACTGTCCGCCGCCATATGCGGTCAAATTGCTCACATAAACTAAACCGCCAGTGTTGTTACCAGGACCTGCGCCTTGATATAGATTGCCGCTCTTGTAGTCTTTGTTTCCATTAGCAAATACATTGGCGGCCCAAGGATCTTGAAATGTTTCGATCAAGCCAAATAAACCAATCTCTTGGTTATTTAAAAAGACACGGCAGTAAGAAAAATCGGTTGAGATGAGACCTAAAGAATTGACCATGCCGTAAGCAACTTTCTCGTGAATATAAGACGGGTCCATCGCCATGGCTCTTAATTTGATTCGTCTGTAGCCGTAGATAGTATCTTCCTTGTTCAGTTTTATGTTATAGGAGGCCTTGGGCATCCATCGGGAGCTGACGCCTGAAATAGAGAACCCAACATCTTTGAAAGTCAAGCTGTCATTTAAAGATACGTAGGATAAGCTGGCTTTGACTTCGATATCTTGTGTGTAATTATTATGCATAGTAGCAATCTCTGATTCATTGGCAATAATATGTATGGTAGGGATTTCTCCTTCACGATGCAGATTAGAAGAAATGCGATGAATTGCTGATAATGGTTTGTATACAGTAGGTAATGAAGCAACTCGCTTCTTGTTCCATGTTCTATTGAAGAATTCATTCAGAGTGTTGGTTTCTATAGGTGATCTAAGGAATGGCTCGCTGATGGTGCTGTTGTCTACTTTTATAATCTTGGTGTATCTGTAACCCTGTCTAGCTACAGGTGCATTACCGGTGTACAAAATTGTGCTAGGAGAACTGAGTTCCAAGGGATAAGTAACATTATCCACAATGACACCCATTGACTGCGATGAGCTTAAAAGCCCAATGACATTGTATTTAATATGTTTATTTGCTGGTTCTCCCTGTGCGCTTACAAAAGTCAATGCGCCAATCACTAATAAAAGACATGTTAGTATAATTTTTTATAGTCATTACAGTTGATTAAGAAAATGTACATACACAAAGCTAAATACTTAAAGTTCATTATATATTAAAATTAGCAAACTATATGTTTTTGGTAAAATGTGGGGCTTCTTTTATATGATCTCGAGAGAGTTATATTTAGGTATTTTTAGTCTGCTTTTGGCTAAAGACCTTGCCCATTGTTGTATAGAATGCTCGGAAGATTATACCATCTGAAGCTGATTTACTTGCCAAGCCTTTCTTAACAAAACTATTACTAATGGTAACCTCACTTTATGGACTTTACACAGCATAGTCTCCGAAACTTTTCTTTCGATTGGACACCATCCATTAATAAAAAGAGCATATATTCTATTTTCCTTTCCATTGACGTTAACGTGCCTTGAAAATTTTCTAGCATTGAAGGATCCAGGTTTTTAATGTAACCTTACCTTAAAACTCCATATAATAATCGGAGCTGTTTCTTGGCAGACACAAAATGTTTATCCCCTAATAAGCATCATTTTGCCAAGGTATTCCCATGCGATTATACTCTTTGGAATTAAAATTGGGATGATCGTAAACTTTGCTATAAACAAGTTAGGCGTTCCTTTTTTTTATAATAAACCATATATAATAATTTGTTGTGCTTGGATTAAAGCAGTGTATATATTCTCAATTGTAAAAAGATCATTATATTCTGTTTTTATAAATATGCTTACAGAAATCGTTTAAATTTAAGTTAATAGCCTACAAGTACGAATGTCAATATATGGCTGTTTATTAAAATAATAAAGCATGTAACTTGCATTATATACAATCTTTATTATTCACAAAAAACTATATGTTGTGTTTGGCAATGTTTCTGCTTATTTTCTGTATGAATTCTTTGACACCAATACACACTTTATAGTCTGTTGGTCCATTAACGGCTTGAAGAAATGGCACACCTTTTAGAACAAGCTCAACATAATCCAAAGCCCGTTCGTAGTCACCTGGATCTTTAGGAATCATGCGAATAAAAGGCCGTATGAGAACATTATCTCTTTGGGACAGAGTCATGTTGATTAAAGGCCTAATATCTATATCAGGTGGCACTCGTCCATTAGTGTATGATATATTATACATGTCGAGCATACTGGGGATTATGGTGCCCATTCGTGGCACCATTTGGTCCCAAGCCACATCTTCTTCGAGCATATCTACTAAATCATCTATGCGCCTAAATGTAACACGAGGGTTCACAAGACGTCTATGAATCTGATCTATCGTCTCTTCAAACTGTCCCTTAAATTCCGGTAATTCCAGTATCTTTGCCATTAATGGTTGAGTATACATACCAGGAAAGGTGGAGTAGTTGCCTGTTATCATAGGATGCAAGTCAGACACGCTAAAACCAAACGTAGAGTCCAGATCAGCAGGGATATAAAAGAAGGCGCCTGTTTCAGGATTGTCATAAAGATAGTAATTGTGATTGTCGTTCAAATAACCATCATAATACGCATTTAATACTTCTAGGGCCATTGAACGGAGAAACGAGTCAATGTCGAGTTTAGACTTCCAGATGATGACTGCATCATGGCCATGCACTGGTGCATTTGCAATAAACTCTGTCAATTTTTGAAGTGATTTGTAATCACCCTTCACGCCTGCTCGTATGACATATTGACCATCTCCATAAGCCGATAGATTGGACATATAACTTAGATTGGAGTAAAGCATAGTTGGTGAATGTCCAAAGCCTTGATACAAGTTCCCGTTTTTATAGTCTTTTTGTCCGAAAGCAAATACATTGGCTGTCCACGGATTCTGAAATGCTTCGATCAGACCAAATAACCCAATCTCCTTGTCATTCATGAAAACACGAACGTATGAGTACTCTGAGGAAAGAAGCCCCACAGATTTGATCATGTCATATGCCAACTTTTCACGAATATAAGAAGGATCATTGGCCATGGGCCGTAGTTTAATACGCTTGTAACCATATAATCTGTCTGTATGCCGTAGCTTAACATTATAAGAAACTTTGGGCATCCATCGCGAGCCATGACCTGATATAGAAAGCGTTACATTTTGAAAGAAGAGTTGATCAACCAGAGAAACATAAGTCATATTTGCATTGATATCGATATCATCATTGGATTTGTGATGCATTAGATCAAGATCAGCTTGGTTAGCGACTATATGGATAGTAGGAATTTCTCCTTCCTTATGTAAGTCAGATTGAATGCGATGAATGACAGGTAATGGTTCATAAACTGTAGGAAGTTGTGTAACCTCTTTTTTGTTCCAAGTCCTGTTGAAAAATTCGTTCACAGTATCGGTATATGTGGGCGGGCGTAAGAACGGTTCAGGAATATTGTTATGTGTCTCTGTGATCTTGACATATCTGTAGCCTTCACGGGCTATTGGGGCGCTTCCGCTATATAAAATTGTGTTTGATGAATTGAGCATAAGCATGCTCATAGCACCGTCTACTTCAACAGCCATCGTCTGCGACTTTCCCAAAAGGCTGATGACATGATAAGTTATTAAGCCGCTACCTTGGTCATTGTGTGCCCAAACAAGAGCAAAGGTACTACTAAAGACTGTATAAATAAGTTAATCACGACACATATTAATGTATTTTGACAAAAGTGAACGTACAAAAGGATAAAATCTTGTAAAATAGCATTTCAGTAAATCACCTCCAAAAAAGAACGAAACCAGCCCCCCTTTTTTTTTCCTTTTTATACATTGTCGACGATATGTACGAGATATACAGTGATATCATTCAACGTCAATTCATCACGTAATGCATATCATTACACTTTTAAAGAATCATGTCTAATTTATTGGCTACCAGTTACTCTTCTATTCATACAAGTAGCATGTGAAGATGACTTGTGTACACAGTACAAAGATATGGATCAACATTATACAGCCCAAATCCATGACTTCAGCTATAGTAGAGAGCGTAACTAAAGTGCCGTTTAAATTTGCCTTCAAAAGCCTGCAAGAAGAATAAAAAAAAAAAAGGCATGCTAAAGGTTACTTGGATACGCAAAGCAACTAAAATTAGTCAACTCAAATTACCAAACTGTTCACTACTACTATACACAACATAAAGTTGTTTACTACTAAAAGTATGAATCAAGGTGACTGAAACACTAATGTTTATAAAATATATGCAAAATACTAGAAACATTTTTCCAAATGAATGAACCTTGCTCAACAGTCTTGGCATTAAATAGGAAAAGGGCTTCTTTTGCATGTACATTAAGTTGTTTAATTTTTTTACAGTTCTTTCCTTTGCTAAATACTCTGGAGGCCTGATTTCTCTCGATAGTCCGCATAAAACTGAAGCATTTCAGGTGTTATGCCTCTAGTAAATGTGTCTAATGCCTGTCTAAAATGCCTCATCTTGATCTATATAAAAAAAGGTATTAGACATTGTTTAAGCTAATACAAGTATTGCATACCGAATCAATATAAATATTCTCTTCCATCGCTATTAAGGCAGCTTCTTGACATATTGCCACAGCTTCAGCTCCTGAACATCCTTCACTCTATTATATAATTAAGTAAGTATTTCAGTTAATACACATATTCATCTGGTGTACTTTTGCCGCAATTTCTTCAATGTCTACATCTGAAGCACACGCCATTTTACTTAGCTGGATTTTAAATATCTCTTTACGTGAATCATAATCAGGTGGTCCAACATAGAGAATTCTATCGATTCTTCCTGGACGTAAAAGAGCATCGTCCTGATGGGAGTAAGAACTTGTTTTTTATACATTTCATACAAATGTCAACTTACAATGATATCTGGTCTGTTAGTCGCAGCCACGACAGTTACATTCACCAAGGGCTCAATACCATCCAACTCGTTTAGCAACTGAGATAACACTCTATCCGCAACTGAAGCACCACCATCTCCTGAGGCGCCTCTTTTAACTGTTAATGCATCAATTTCATCCTAAGCGAATGCTTAATTATCAGAAAATGTCTAATGAATAAAACCAAGCACTTACAAAGAAAACAATAGATGGTGAAGCGGCTCTTGCTTTTCTGAATACTTCATGTACTGCTTTTTCAGATTCACCAACCCACTTACTTAGTAACTATTTACACATATTACTACACAAAACTTTTCTTTTTTTTTTGACCAAATGTTATTCTTTACCTCAGGACCTTTAACAGCAATAAAATTTGAATTTGCCTCTGTGGCTAATGCCTTAGCCATCAGAGTCTTACTACAACCTGGAGGCCCATATAGAAGAATTCCTTTTGGTGGTCTAATTCCAAGTCTTTGAAATGCTTCGGGATGTTGTAAGGGCCATTCGATTGATTCCTTCAATCTCTGTTTGATGTCTGCTTGTCCACCAATATCGGACCAATACACTTTTGGAACCTCTAACATTATCTCACGCATTGCACTTGGTCTTATTTCACTCATAGCTTCTTTCATATCTTGAAAGTTGACTATTAAGCTATCTGTAGGTTTAGAGCTGCATCGCTTAATGCACTTGAGTCCAGCTTCTCGGCAAACAGCAGCAATATCTGCACCAACATAACCATGTGATCTCTGCGCCAGATGCTCTAGTTCTAAATCTGTCAAAGAGTGTGGTATCTTGGCCATGATGGTTTTAAAGATAGAGTGTCTTGCTTCGCTAGTAGGTATACCGATCTCAACTTCCCTGTCAAATCGACCAGGTCGACGAAGCGCTTCATCTAATGCATTAGGTCTATTTGTAGCTCCAATGACAACCACACGGTTATGTTCAGTATTTGCGCCATCCATGAGTGTTAGTAAAGTAGTGACTACTCTCTTCTCTAGCTCACTCGGCGCTTCATCTCTTTTTGGACAGAGTGAATCAATCTCATCAATAAATATAATAGTCGGTGAGCGCGCGATAGCTTCTTGAAAAATGTCTCGTAGCTTTTGTTCTGTTTCTCCGTAAAACTTGCTTACTATTTCTGGTCCATTCACAATGATCGAATGAGCGCCTGCCTCTTGAGCTGCTGCACGGGCGATCAGTGTCTTTCCTGTCCCAGGTGGACCAAAGAGTAACAAGCCTCTAGGGGGCTTCAGACCATACCTCACAAAGAGTTCAGGATTATTCAGAGGAGTTTCAATCATCTCTCGAACGACTTGTATCTGCTTGGTGAGGCCACCTATGTTTTCATAACTCACTTTGCTGTTTGGCTTTTCTTTGACCGGATCTGTTGCAGTTATCAAACTGGTAATCTTTGTCATTTGTGTCACCTGATAAACAAATGCATTGTGCTGTGCAGAAACATCTCTAATTTGAATTCTTGCTTTATTTCCAAGATGGTTGATATCTATCATCTGTCCACGAGTAACAAACTTTTGGTAAACTAGATGCATTGATTAAATAAGCAAGCGTAAGATGCTGTTATTTTTCAATTTACTTAGTACTTGTTTTATATAAGCTATAAACTCATTCGAGTGAAGTGCTGTATTAGACAATATGTCAATTGTCACTTGATTTGCTTCTACTTCAACGCTATCTACTTTTGTAATATCGACAAGATCACCAATTATAAAGGAACCACTTAGACGCAAACATGTAGTGAGCTCGACATCTGCAATGAATTAATGAGTTTCTATACAATAGATTTTGTAAAAGAAAAAAGAGATAGAAAACCTTTTATTGATGTCAATAGAGAAGGCCAAGCATGTCCAATGGCGATCTAATAACAGCATAAAAAGTCAATCTACAGCAAAAGTCTATTAAAAACAATCTATTTACTTGATCTTGTTTTCGAACCGTGATTAGATCACCAGTCCCAATTTGCCTTTGCTGCATTACTTCCAAGGCAAGATATATTCTTGTCGGTTTTTGATCATTATTAGTCGCTTTTACTTCAAATGACATGTCATAAACTGTAAAAAATATATAGAAAAGTGAGCGACGAATCGGAGATCTTTTTTTTTTTTTTTATTGAAACCTTAGTTGGGCGCAGACCAGTTCAAGATATCTCAACCGTAATTCATCATTTTCTTTGTAATCAATCATCTGAGCAGAATTCAAAGAATTATCCAGATGAATGAGCCTCTGTTGTTCCAGGACACAGCAATCATCAGTAGCTTCCGTGTTTTTTCATCATAGTCAACGTGATACTTATAACATCAAGAATTTGATCCGAGAACACAGCCTGCATTCATTCTTTACTACTGAGCATTCTGTGCTGTGCGTATCTAAGTATAATTTGACAGCTATGTAAATTTGTCAGCTCATCGTTTTATTGAAAGCTGGAGGGAAAACTCATAGCGAAATTAGGTTATCAAAGAAGGCTTCAAGGTATGCCCACTTGATGAGCTTAGACCTCTAGTTTGTACCCTGCATGTCAGAGTGGCGAACTTGAAAACTCAAAAAAGTACAAAATTCTAAACCCTTTCAGACAGAAAAGTATCCAACTGTAACACTTTAAATTTCAAGCATATACTTTTTGGACTGCGTGAAAACGGCAAAAGACCAGAACACATTTGCAGACAAAACATACCTCCTTCCACAGTCCAAACAAGGAAAAAGGAATTAAATAGATAGCAATGTCCAACTAAAAAATAACCAATCCTTTGTTGTTACTGCTGCATTGAACCATGATAAAGGTAAATCTTGTAGACACATGCAGGCGAAGCGCATCATTATCACAAATCTTTTTAGCGGGCATCTAATTTTTTTTTTTTGAATTCTCATTTTGGCTTTAAAACAAAGTCCACACTTCATACAAAAAGTCTTCATAATGAGCCAAGTAAAGCCAGACAATTCAAGGTATTCACTTGTGCCTGTCAAAGGTGGCTGGGAGGTTCCTCGGAAACTATTCCATTTTTCTATTGGTAAAGGCATATAATAGTAACCCTGTCATGACAGCAATCTCATGATTACAACATTTAGGCTTCCTCGTTTTATATCTTTACATGAACGGAATAGACACAGACCAAGTATATCCAAAATTGGCTGCTTTCTTGTCTATTGTTGTTACAGCTGAATTACTACGATTTAACTTTGAATGGTTCAACATTATATACTGTCAAGTCTGTGGACCCTTGATGCGAACAACAGAAATTAAAAAAGTAAATGGCGTTGTATACTACTTGCTAGGTAGAGCATATCTATACTCTCTAACTTTTTTATCATTCACTAATGGCTCAATGTATAGGCTGTATTATTGTACTGTACTTCTTTCCAAGAGATCTTGCGGCGTTATCTATCATTTATTTATCTTGGGCGGACCCTATCGCCAGCATTTGTGGAAAACTATGGGGAAAATATACGATACAGTACAGTGGAAAATCATTAGCAGGGTCCTTAGGAGCAGTCGTATTAGGGTCACTCGTAACATATGTTTATTTTGGCCCACTTTCTTATTACCCTCAGTCTTACAATACAGAGTCAAGCCCAGTGCCATTGACCATCTTTTCAGTTTATGGTGGTCTTGTAGCAGGCATTTCAGAAGCCCTTGGAAACTCAGTGTTTGGATTTGATGACAATTTAACAATCCCAGTCATAAGCGCAGTCATGTTGTGGATACCTTTAGTTGGTCTTGGCCTTGGATATTAAACAGAATGCGCATTAGATTTACTGTTTATAATATTCTTTAAAGCAAAGTGTATTTTTAATAACTATTTACGACATCTGAATCCTTCTATAGAAAGACAATACTGTCTGATACAACCATGTAAAATAAAATAAAAAACTATTTCTGCCTTTTTAGATAATACCAACAGGATAATCTTGTAAGGTTTTGCTACCTGGCCATTATTTATGCTCTTATAGACTCTCACATTTAACCAATGTCTATCAACGAACTTTTTCAAAAACCTTGAAACCCTATAGCTTCATCTCTAAAGGACTAGCACCATTAACTTAGTTTTTAGAGAGATGGCCGTAGTCTGTTTAATTAAATAGAATACTCTGGAACTCTTTTTGCTGCTATTCTTCCTTTATGATCAAATTCTCATGGTATTCGTTAGTATAGCTTCTTTCTTTCAATGAATTCGGAGCACACTCCTCAAATGTTTTCTTTTGCCTTGTACTCTTTATAGAATATTGCATATTTATTCATTTATTTATCACGAGCACCTTATTCAATGTACATTCTTTTGTCTTTATCGAGCTTTAATCAATTGGTTCTTATCGTATACGTCTTCTTGCTTGAAATACAAATGCGTTATTTTTTAAATGTCGCGCAAATAGTCCTTCAAGTGCATTATGCAAAAATGTTGATCCTCCTTAACAAATAGGTAGTTTATCCCTCTCCCTTGTGATATTCTACACACAAACATAAAATAGAATGATATAGATTGATATAGATTGATATAGATTGTTTGTTTACAGCTATCCCCTAGTCTATCTTTCTGTCCCTGACCGGCGGACACATGATATCGGGCATTATGACAAGACGATCGAAAGACTAGTGAAATAAAAGTTAGTGTTGTTCTTGGCAAATATTATGAGTATCTTTTCCATTTTCAAAACAAGAGATAAAGTCAAAACAATTCTGCAAGTTTAAAATAGAATATTGAGCATTACCTACATATAAAACCTGCATAAAAACATAAATGGAACTACTCCTAAAAAGCCCATATGTTGTTCTAATCAGCATCAATTCATATTTTTGTTGCTGAACCTTATCACGCTAGTCAATACAGTCTCCTTAAAATCCCTTTTAAAGAAAAATGCATACTCCTAAAGCGCAAATTGACTCAAGAAAAAAAAAATCTTGCCAGTCCCTCAGTTTCTTGGCTACATATGAATTACTGCACCTCCTTGTACACTTTAGCAAACAAGAAAAAAATTAAGCTTATTTATGCTTTTACATGCTTGAAATCATACGATTGTAGCATCCAACATAGGAAAGGGTATAGAAGATCAACAAGAAGATTCGAGAATTTAATATACATTACTCCTTTCAGTTTCAAGTATAAATACCCTGCCTTTTTTTTTTTTTTTTTTTGAAAATAATAGGTTAAAGATCCCTACAAAATGAAAACAGTAGCATACTTTATTGCTCTCTTATTCTCGTTTACATTTATTCATTCTAACTTGGTTAGCTGCTCGCCTATGTCCGAAGCATGCGTAGATGTGTGTAAAGAAAATCAGTTTGCTTGCCCTATTACTGCATCATCCAGAAACAGGGGAACCTCTTCATATCCGTGTTGGACTTGTTGCTATTCACGATAATAATTACCATTACTTTATAAAATGTAATCATACAACTAATTAATAAAAAGTCTTTATTTTATCCTAAAGTATACAAGGAAACCTTTCTTGATACTTGAAAAGAGAGGAAAGTAAATGGTTGAAAGGATTAAAGAGGTTGTTTATTCTTTTTACATGTATACGATAAAAAAAAGGGGGCATTTATTTCTTGCCTATAACGCGCTTAATGAGTTGATCAACAACTGAAGGATCGGCCAAAGTAGAAGTGTCACCTAAAGAGTCCTGCTCTCCGTTCACGATCTTGCGAAGAATACGGCGCATGATCTTACCAGATCTTGTCTTGGGAAGATCCGTGACAACATAGATACGCTTCGGCGTAGCAAAAGGCCCTATCACTTTACGCACTTGTAAGGTCAACTCCTTCTCAAATCCTTCAGAGTCCTCGATATTGGGCTTTAGTACAGCAAATGCATGGATACATTGACCAGTCAAATCATCATGACCTCCCACAACAGCAGCTTCTGCAACCGAATGATGAAGAATTAAAGCAGATTCTATTTCAGCAGTGGATAGACGGTGACCGGATACGTTAATAACATCTACAATAACAAGTGAAGGTTAGCCACTGTAAAAAGAGTATTCTGAAATGGGGTATTTTTACCATCAACGCGTCCACGGATCCAAATATAGCCGTCTTTATCACGAGTAGCACCATCGCCAGTGAAGTAATATCCATTGTAAGGATGCAGATATGTTTCGAGGAAACGAGCGTGGTTGTTATAGACTGTACGGGCCATTGAAGGCCAAGGTTGAGAGATAGCCAACACACCTGTCACATCGTTACCCTCAAGTACTTTGCCTGTAGTAGGATCCAAGATGACAGGCTTGATACCAAAGAAAGGCAATGTAGCTGAACCAGCTTTGGTAGGAGTAACACCAGGAAGAGGTGCAATGACAATAGATCCTGTCTCGGTTTGCCAATAGGTATCAACAACAGCACACTGCGATCGTCCGACCTTCTTATAGTACCACTCCCAGGCCTCAGGATTAATGGGCTCTCCAACAGAACCAATGACACGAAGAGAGGACAAATCACATTTATCCACCCACTCATCACCTAAACGACGAAGGGCACGAATGGCAGTAGGTGCGGTATAGAACTGAGTAACCTTGTGTTTTTCGACTAATCTCCAGAAACGAGAAGGATCAGGATAGGTTGGTGTAGATTCAAACAAAACCGTTGTGCCACCCAAAGTAAGTGGACCATAATTGACCTAGGGCACGTGTTAATCTCTTATGTAATCTATCCCTTCGTTGAGAAATACTTACATAAGTGTGACCTGTGATCCATCCAATATCTGCCATACAAGCAAAAATGTCGTTCTCGTGATAGTCAAAAATATACTTGACCGTCAAAGCAGCTCCCAAGAGATAGCCACCGGTTGTGTGTAAAATACCCTTGGGTGCACCTGTTGATCCTGATGTATAAAGCAAGAAAAGAGGGTCCTCGGCATTCATAGGTTCAGGTGGGCAAAAGGTTCTTGCTTTAGCCATTTCTTCGTGCCACCACAAGTCTCGATCTTCCACCCAATCAATAGGTGATCCTGTACGACGGAAGACAATAACATGTTCAATATGAGTTTGGTTACTGCGCAGAGCTTCATCCACAATGCGCTTGGTAGCGATGTTTTTGCCTCCACGACGGCCTTCATCTGATGTGATGACGACGCGAGCAGCACAGTCAATTATACGATCACGTAACGATTCGGCCGAAAAACCAGCAAAAACAACGGAATGAACAGCGCCGATACGAGCACAGGCGAGAGCAGCAACAAGAGCTTCAGGTATCATAGGCATGTAGATAGCTACGTTATCTCCTTTACGCACACCCAGATTTTTTAAAGTGTTTGCCATTTGACAGACAAGTCGGAATAATTCACCATAGGTAATATTACGGACCTGATCTGGTTCATCACCTTCATGAATAATAGCAATCTTGTTGGGGTTCTTCAAGGCATGTCTGTCTACACAGTTATAACAGGCATTCAGTTCACCTTCCAAGAACCAGCCAATATCGCCATGAGCAAGTGAGCCATGACGGACGGTTTCAAATGGTTTGGACCAAGACAAGAGCTCACGAGCATACTATATATCTCATATAGTAAGCATATGTAAGAAACCATCAAAATGTATATTACCTTGGCAAAGAACTCTTCTGGGTGCTCAACACTTTCTTTCCATAAGGCCTTATACGTGTCCATGGAGTGAATGTGAGGCTTAGGATACTTTGAAGTATCCAAAAGACGAGGAGGAACAGGGTGTGTGATAATATTCTCTTCAACAGTCATTTCTAGAGCAACTTGAGAAAAAAAAAAAAGAGACCGAAAAAAAAAGAGGGCTGAGGTATTTATATGCATTTAGATGGTTGGGGATGAAGTGAGGACAAACTTTATTTTGCCCAAACTGATGCGTAGAGTGGAAACAGATAGCATCCCATATATTTCCGTAAAAGGTAAGAATTGCAAAGACGGTGGGAAACACAAGTAAAAGATCTATATTCCTAATTATAAAAAAAAATAGATAACAGGTATAAAAAAAAGAAAAATAGAATCTAGGAAAGAAAAGATGTCAAATGAGTTCCATTAAACCTAGTTTGCTCTTATATAATTTCATTACAGGGATCATTTCCTTAAACTGCAATGTACCCGCGGTGACCATTTCACTCCAGGAAGGACCCCCCTTTTGTGTATGAATTAGCTAATACATGACACTTTAACCTTTATTTTGACAGTTGACATTCGTTTTTTGCTTTTGTAGCTTCCCTTTATCAAGAGTATCCATAGTTACTCTATATTTATGCAGTACTCACGATTAATTGAATTTAAATACAGTTCATTTACTGATTGGTCCCATATTACTCCATCTTTTTTCTTTTTCCACAGAAAATGTCTGTATTTCTTTTTTCCCTTACATCACATGTGTTGATAAGCCGCGTCTAAAGGATTATCCTTTGTTACCCATGATGCCCCGATTACAATCAAGAGCCTTGGGGTGTTTTGCATAATAAATTTATATACGCCAATGTTTACATTGCATTGCAGCTTCTATCATCTTGTCTATCATAATCATTGTGAAACATGGTACAAAGAGTGTTGTGTATTGGGCTAAATTTATACAAGGACATCATTCACGAGTGATTGTGTATGTGTGTGCAAGTTATTGGGTAATACACACTAGGCTTATATGATGCTATGACCTTTCTTTAGTCAGTTTTGGCTTATTATCCTCCACTTTCACTATATGTCAAGGTTTTCCTTTTTTTTTCCCTTTAGGATGGTATCCGGATAAAGTATGATGCAAAGTTACGTTCTCGAAACATTCATGGGAATTGATCTGTACTACATTCTATTAATGTTTCATAGGCTTGGTTCCTTGAACATGCAATTTAATGGGTGCTGAAAAAGAAGGGAGAAAATCTATTGTGTGCTTTGATCTTGTAGAATATAAGAATCAAATAGATGGATACTTACCATATACATGTATACTGACCAGCATTGATATACTTTTTATTTAAAAAGATTGAAAAAAAGGACAGTTTAAGGTACAGCAAGCGCAACACCAATAGGTGATTTTTTAAATAAAAAGATATGAACACATTATGTAGCTTAATTGTATGCTTCGAAATATTCCCTTTGGATGCTAATGGATTTGCAAGGTCTGTTTTTTTTTGTTTTGTTTTTTTGTATCGATCAACGAGCAATGAATATAGCTTTAATAACTTTGCAAGATTTATATGACGTAGCTGAGGGAAGGCTTTATTTAATAAAGCATTTGTACAGAAGTAGTTACAGTCTGAAGTGATATTTCTATGGTAACAAATAAGAGCATTATTGCAAGCTTCTGTCATACTTTTGTTTGAGCGTCTTTTTCATTCTCAAATTGTGCTACTTCTTGCTCTGTTCTTGACAACAGTTGTTCCATAAGATTGAGTACTTGTGAATCAGACGACCTCCGGTTTTAGTGGTTGTTTCTATGACCAAATAAAATCTTTGCTATTATAGGTACAGGGGACATATTCGTAAAAGTTTGTACTTGTCTTTTTCCAAATAGATTGCTTGTAAATTTTCTATGTTTGTATTTAATCTATTTTCACCAGTAGACCTTATTACTAAGGCACGCTTCATCTTACCTAAACTAAATCTGTAATAATAAGCATATGTTAATATCGTGCAATATAGTCAGCGTTTAGCACTTACAATATACATATCTTTTACAAGTGACTAAAGACTTTTTCATTTACACGCAAAAACAATATCAATCTAACTATCATGGCTTAACAAGAAGTTGAGGGACTACTATCACGTCATTGAGTTGCCTAGATTGTTCGAACGCGAGATCATATTCTTCCAAATTCTGACAAATGTGAAGGCGAGCTGTCGATACGGTTTTTACATCACATCCTAAATCATCCGTCAAGCTAAAGGAAATAGAAAGAGAGATTCTTGACGCGCTACCAAGACCAGTGACAGGCGTACTACAGCATATCTCACTCTATTGTAACGAGTTCCGAACATTGAAATAATGAGAAATAATAAAAGACAATTTATAAGATATAAAAAAGTGATGATTTTTACTAATAGTTATTTCTTTTAATATTTAAATGATTTTAAATAGCATATGTTGGATGTTAACAATGGTAAAATACAAGGTGCTAATCTTGATAATAATATGGAATGGCACCGATGCTTAAGTAATCTCGTAGGAACCCAATAAGGAAAGCGCATCACAAATATACAATCACAAGTGTAGCGCGCGCGCATTATGTCTTTTCTAGCCTGTTGATCAATCTAATGGCACAGGGCTGCAAGTTCTTTTATATAATTAATCCTTAACATTAAGCCAAAATTCCTCAATTAAAACTTGTAAAAGATTAGACTCCATGAGCTCGACATTGTTTATTATTTGAAAGACAAGTACAATGGCGTGTCTTTGTATGTAGTATTAAAAGACAGTTCAACGTACAATCAAGCTTGTCCATCATAAAATTCATCAGAGTCATTTTTATAACCAAATATCAAATTGTAGAGAGAATTTGTATAATTATACCTTATTTTATTACAGGCACTTCTTGACAACATATACAACACTTGTTCAATAAGATCGAGGATAAGAGAAATATGTTCCTGAAAAAATAAATAATGTGTGAATTTATTAAATAACAAACATGTGAATAAATCAAGCAAATATATAAATATATATGTAACTGACAGAATTTACTGCCTATTTAAATGTATGCGCGTATATAATGAATGTAAATATATATATATATGTGCATAAATAAGATATAATAATAATGCTTAAATATGCAAGATGATCAACAAGGACAGAAATCAGTCGAATGTGGACCAGAGCAATTTGTACATTTGGCTGCTGTCTTTCTACCATCGTTATTAGGTGATCCAAAGAGTGAAAAGTGGAGAGTGGGCATCAAATTGGGTCTTGGAAAACTATTCAAGATGGAGCTTTCGGTGATGACTTCAGGGCCAGCCCTGTTTTCAGCACTTCTTTGTTGATAAGAGGATGATTTATTAGGTAATGCTCGTTGTGATGAGGTCGAAAAGGGCTGTCTTTTCAATACAGAGGATATAGGTATCATACTCTTGCGAAGACGATCATGTTTACTCTTTGTACTCGAACCGAACAAACCAAAGAGAGGCACACTACCAAGAATTGACATTGACATATTTAAATAGAATAATAATGAAGAAAAAAGATCAAAAAAAGAAAAAGTCTTTTATATCAAATATATTCTCTATTGTTTCTATTCTTAATTCACGTTTTTTAATTCATTCCGTGTGTTTCCGAATGATTCATAATTTATCCTTGAGGAATTATTCAAAACGTTATTTAAACCCTCTTATCTTTTCTATTCTTTTTCTTTTAAAAAGACAAGTAGTAAAAGGGAAAGAGATCAAGTTACTTTTTATACCTTTTTTTTTTTCATATAAAAAATCATTCCATCTTTTTTTATAACAAACAATAATAAATAGAATGAAAAAAAATGGATAAATGTAATATCCGTGACACGTTTTATTCAATTTAGGTATACAGTTCTTGTATGTTATCTCCAATAAAGGGAATAGATTCACCTTGAAGATCGACATTTTCAAGGAAATGATAGGGGAATTCGACCAAATGACCATGAATATTAGCCAAGTGGTCTCTTATTTCATCTACTGACATTTCAGGGTCATGAACATGTCCAATATCAATCTGACTAGGATCAGGGTAGAACGTTTTGTACTCCTCCCATGTGGTGACTATATTTACTTTTTTAGTAATTTTGGCTCAGCATTTCTTGCTTTATCTATACCTGTATCATCAGGTACACAATGGAATACATGACGGAAAGCAACGGTATTTGTTTTGGCTGTAGAGTTCCATAGTGAAAGTGTATCCTCATCAAGTGGGTCCATCACTTGTCTATCTTCTTCGCTGTCTGTTGTATCTATCTGCGGTGTGGGCAAAGGAAGCATAGCATCTGTGACTTCATCAGGTGGTGCATCAGGGATCAAGCCCAAATGTTCCTTCCATAAGTTGCGTCTCAAAGTAGCTGCAAATCGACTAGCTTCATACTAATGAAGTTTTAGTTACGTCATTTATGCAACGATAAATCAAAAAAAAAAACTTACATATTCACCATTCATCTTGGAAGGAATCGTATCCTTATCTTCAACAATTAAAGCAATTTCAGAGTCACGGTCACCACACTGAGAACGATCATTCAGATTAGCAGAGCCCATAATGACGACCTTGTCTACACACATAAAAAGAGGAATTAGACATGTGTAGCTTATAGTTTGCTTTTCTTTACCATCAGCAATTAAAAGCTTTGCATGAATATAGAGCTCTTCAGTAACGTAATCACTGGCTTCTTCTCTTTCAGCTTCATCATCTCTTGGTTGAGAGTATTTTGTATCATTCACCCAAGGTTCGCTTTCAATATCACCACCTTCCATTGCATCCTTGGCAATTGAATCAGAGGCAATACCTTCTTCCAACTGTTCACGATGGCGACGAATATCGTCATCATCAGGAATACGACCATACTCAACCTCTTCATCTACATTGAATGAACCTTTGGTATCACGAGCAAAGTCAGGATCACCTGCATGATGAACGACTTCAGCCTCTTCTCCTTCATGACCTTCAATGTTATCCAATTGTTGTTGGGTTGTGTTGCCGTAACCGGCTGCCTTGACAAGCAATTCTTCAAGCTTACTACGATTGATACGATCATAACTTCTTAAACTATAAAAGCGGATGTACTCGTCAGGATCAATGCCAGTCGCCTTGAGCTTTTCAACAATACTATTAGGACCACGACAGATAGACATGTATTGATAATGCATAACCAATCTGTATCAATAAATGCGTGTTAACTGACTATTCTACATATACGCTATATAAGTATATACCTAGCAGTGGCTGCATCCTTTGTACTCAAGTCAGCGGGGAATGCAGGCATCAAGGGCATCAAGACAAATACTTTAAACTTTTCTTGTTCTTCATGAGCGCGGATGATTCGCTTGACGATAGCATTGCCAATCTGGTTCTTGAGGATACTGCCATCGTTCATCTCGGTCGCAGTGACTGAATAGGTAATAGTGGAGTTAGTTCACGTGCTCTATATATCTGTTAGTGCTACATTACTAAAGAACTGGTTTTCAATATAAATGTAATGTTGGGCTCCAAGGATAGTAGCAATATAGGCATTTTGAATAGAGTGCTAATAATAGTAATAATTAGTTATCCCTTTTTTGTTCATCATGATCTTAAAATCCTTACTTCAAGTTCAACACCAGAGCTCCATTTGGCACTGCTTCGAAGAACTTGTGTACGCATCGTTCCCGTTACACCGTGAGTTCTGTGATTGTGACGATATTTTCTGTAATGGTGAGCCTCAGGGTCTTCTTCGATATATCTCTGTTGAGAGCCCATACCACCCAAGGGAGGTTGTAAGAAAGGAATGTTGTCTTTATCTTTAGCCTTTTCATGTTTAACGAAATTCCAACGCTCACAAAAGTGACGTGCAACGTCCAGAACAGGAGCACCCATCTTTTTTTTAATAAACAGTTAGGGCTTTGTTCTTATGTGTCACCCCATGGATATAACTTACCACACACAAGGACATATCATGCCAAGGCATTCTAGGAATGACAGTTTTATCAATAAGACGCATATCCCAATCCTTGACTGCAAAAGAATGGATTAGCATATATTGTATATAGTATGTTTTTGTCTTACCATGATCAAAATCTCTCACACGAGCGTCACTATAATCTTGACCTAATCATATGCAAATTCCGTTTTAGACTAAAAAAAAAATAAATAAAGTTATATAATAAGCCTAACCTGGAAATAGTTCGCTTTCGGGATCATTTCCGTGAAAGTCTGCTAAGGGGTGAGCATGAGTGTCCCAACGACTGTTATAGAAAGAGTGTTAGAGGTATTTATCATGTTTCTATATGTCTATTTACCCAAAGCATAGATCGATACCACCGAGGAAAGCAATCTGGTTATCAACGACGACAAACTTTTCATGGTGAGACCAGAAAAAGGTGCCTCCGAGGGAGTGATCAGGGTGTCTCATAACTAGTTGCATAAGCTTAAACGGCAACTTAAATTTTTGTTCACTTTACCTATTATGTTTTCACTCAAGGATTGAAGTGCTTCCTTGGTGTGAGCACTATCCAAGGTTAAAGCCATTTCGACTTCCTTTTTCAAGTGTTATTATGCAATACTTATATCATACACATTTCCACTATTTACCTTGTAGACAACAATGTAAATCTTTACACCTTCATCTGCCTTCTTCTTTAATAATCGGTCAATACGATATTCTGGATATTTAGATGGAGGTCTGCGTAAATACTATGCAAGTATTAGTGCTGTATATCTTGCATTTTGTTTAGTGTTTACCAACTCAGGTGTCTATACACAAAAAAAAAACGCCTTTAGTCTCTCTTTAACAATAGTTTTTTTGTTGTATAGCTTTACCAGCCACCAATCTTCAATGTAAATACACTCGGTTGCCTTGTCAATAGCTTCTGAAACAGCCCTTTTGATCACTATATTATTTTCTCTCGCTCTCTTATTATGTATATATATATATATATTTACCAGCAGTAGTTTTGTCCATCAATAAAATACTTGACTTGAGCACCGTGTCTGACGGCAGCAAATGAATCATAACGATGCTTCTCGTTCAAGAGTTGTTGTTCAATGAAATCATCATCTTCCTTTTTGGGTTCTTCGCTGCTCTCAAAGAGACTAGTCACCTTTTCAGCAATATCACTAAAGATTGTCATTGTGAAAAATGGTTTAAAATGAAAGAAAAAGAGAGAAAAAAAGGTTGTAAAAAAGTTTCATCTTTTTATATAAAGTCGTGTAACTGTTGCCCTTTTTTTTTTATGTACCTTTTTTACTCAATTCTTTCTCCGTCTATTAAAAGCAGCAACAAGAGCACTAAACTGTCAAAATGCATTTCTTGTAATTCTATTTAATTGGCAAGTTTCCTTTCTGATTGTTTTGCAATACCTTTACGCGTCATCCTGCTTCTTTATATAACTGATTCTCACTGTTGACCATTTCTCTCTATTTTTTTTTACTGTGTAAATAACAAAACCTGGTCCAGACTAATCTAATGTAAAAAGAAGCATAATCATTAGCCACGTTTATTAGTTTTTTTTTTTACACACACAGCCTGAGATTATAAAGAAGCTCTTTAGTTCAATTCATTACTACAGACATGCAGGTACACTCTTCGATGATACGTCGTATTGCAGCTGTATCTGTTTCATGAGAGGTAGCTACTATTCTACATTTAAGCATTACATAAACTCATAACACAACAAAATACACTCTCTTTTATTCTATTATTTATTTTATTTAAATAAACTAGTTAAGCTCTTTTTCTTTTTCTTTTTTTTCTCTTTTTATATCTACAGAATGACTAATACAACTCCATATCGTCTTCATCTTCATCGTCTTCATCTTCATCTTCTTCTTCTTCATCTTCTCCATCTTCTACTTCTGCTGCATCATCAGAGTCTTCTTCCACATATATATTTTCTGCTATTTGAGCGCGTTCCAATTCTTTGTCATTAATATTTGAATAAGACTTGACATTGACTTGATTTTGCACAACATCCAAACGTCCTCTTAAAGCAAGTAACTTGGGAAACACGCCTAGTCGTGTATCCAGTGCTTGATAAAAGTTGGATAATTTACCTACTAGATTTGGCACTGTCATCAAATAAGCCGTATGAATCAAGAGAATAGACTGAATCCAGATCAGAAGTGCAGGCGCACGGCCAGGCTTTTCTTGGAAGCGTGTAATTAAGTCGATCAATAAGGGAATAATGTATTTTGTTGGTAACCGTCTAATTGTGTTCTCAATCACATCTCGCTTTGTAAATTGTAAGCAGGCTTCCAATAAACTGTTGTCGCCCGAGTGGAGTGCCTGGACTAAGACTGTCTGTAAGGAGCCAGCTGCAGGTGTCTCAAGCGTCTTCTTCTTGCTCTTTTTCGTCTTGTGTTCACTTGAATCAGCCACGTCGAGGCTCATCAGCTTTTGTTCAATCGTTTGTTCCGCAGAACCTTCGTCTTCCTGTTGACCATTAGCTATCGTAGGTGCTTTGATAGCAAAATCAGAATTGCCAACCACTGTCACTGTCGATTCATCATAAATCTTTTTGGTTGTCCTAAGGTTGTTTGCAGCAATGGAGGCATTATCAATCAAAAAGTTTGTCACTGGCTGTCTCGACAATTCAATTTCTCGTAAAATCGCGCCGGTCTCTTCATTCACATATTTTACTACTTCAAACGATGGTTTCACGCTTGATCCACGAGCAGTCATGATGGATTTGCCTCCCTTGTCTGTCACGAACTTGGCTGCCAGGATCGGCATCATCTTGTTGTCTTGTTCAGTGGACAGAATCTTGATGCTGGTATCCGGCTCCTTGGTTAAGGATCGCATCATCTTTCGCTTGTGACTTGTTGCCTGTACTGTGACCAATGAAGGGTTTTCCCAGACGGCAACGATACCTTCCTCTGTCACGGCAAGTACAGTGGGTTCTGTTGTAGAAAAGTCAATATGCGACACATTGCTTTCAACCGTCAGTGCTGTCACATTGTTGGCATTCGTATTTGATGATTGGGCATCCCAGACGTTAATGTATCGATCATCTTCAGCACTGGAAACTAACAAGTCATCTTGAGGTGAAAAGGCAAGTTCTTTCACTACGCTAGCGTGTCCAGTAAATTTCTATATAGCAGAATTAGTTACATGATTTGATGATTCAAATACACATACCTTGATCACACTACGACTATTCAGATCCCAAAGAGTGATAGTGTGTCCTGCTGTAGCTAATTTTGTTCCATCGTGACTTAACTTCAATTTACGTACGTTCTTTGCGTCTGCTTTCCATTTACTAAATATATGATAAGTACGTGTTTGTTTATGTCGATTATGAACCTACAAGAGCTCTTTTTCTTCTTCAATGTCCCATTCTATAATGTAATTATCCTCAGCAACTGAGTATCCTCTCGATCCATCCTTTGTCATGACAAAATCAGATATAGGTGTTGTATGCGCATTTTCCAGTTTCTTTATCACAATACCGTGGCTAAGCGAGTATATAGAAATTGAGCCAGATTGCATACCTAAAGCAATCACTTTAGATAAAGGTGCTGCACCACTCTTCTTCTTTTTGAATGCTTGCACAGTGCTTGCCTAAGAAAGAACATGTCAACGTTGTGTTGCTTTATTTTTTTGTGGTATTATTTACTTGTAAATCACTATTATCTTTAATGTATCCCCATGATAAGCATGTTACTCTTTCTTTCTCTTTTGCGCTATAATCGTTGCTCACAGTGCCTGAACGAACATTAAAAATACGCAGACGGTGTCGATCCATAGCCATAGAGATTAAAGCAAAGTGATCTGCAGTTGTGCTTTCATCAAATGCAGAAATGACAATACCTGCATTCTCTGAAGGATTGGCTGATGTTTCTACAGTTGAAGTATCGGGATTTCTCTTGATCGGTGCTTTGCCCATTAGCTCTCTTTATGCTCAATATTGAAGAGTTTATTTGACTATTTTTTTGAGAGGCAATATGAAAAAAAAAATGGAAAGCTAGTCACGTAGGTAAGTGACTTTTTTATATAAAAACAATTTTTTAAGGAGGCATTGATTGCCAAATTTAGTAAAATGAGATAAAGTAAGCAATTCTAGGGTAGCTTATGGCTGTTGTTGATCTATTTACAAGCGTAATAAGAAATGCAGTATGTATTTTACAAGTGTATGTTTTGAATTCTTTTAAGAAGGCGCCAGGTATGTATGCTACGTATCAATATGGAATGGTTTCCCTTTTGATTGCTTGAAAATCAGTGTATTCCGTCAAGCTGCGGCCAATAAAATCTATCTCTCTTTCTTTTTCTTTTTGAAATAACAATTAGATAGTTTGTCATTATTCTTTTTCTTATTATAATATATTAAACCACATTTTGGCTTTGGGAATGAACTTGAAGTAAAAAGAAAGAGAAACATTACTTTTATAAGCTGACACATAGTTTAAAGGTGTGAATAACCAATATCATGAGTCAAAGAACAGGGAGTTTCCCGAAAAGAAAAGACGAAGACTATAGCAGAAAGACAAAAGGTTCAAGGCAGCTATTTAACCCTAGCTTTGATAATCCTATTGCATTTAATAAGAAACCCAATTTTGAACCTCCTGTCATCATTAAGAAAAGAGATAAACCTACAACAACAACAACAGCAACCAACACTACAATTAATAATAATAATAATAAAGCACCTTCCAAAGAAACTCAAGCACAAGATGCAAAAAGGAAATATTGGAAACGACTTATTACATCTATACGAGAACATGAGCTAAAAATAGATGCACTTGCCAAGACCTCCAGTCAATTAGCTTGCTTTCGTGAAGAACAACAACAAGAAGAAGAGATATGCTCAAGAACGGAGATAGCTCCTCAGCCCAAGATACCGGTTTCTATTACCGAGCAGGATCTTCAGGACGCACTCGATGTCTGGAAACAAAAAATTGAGCTTCATTTAGCACTGGCTGGAGCCTATTTGAAGATATTTGAATGTGATATAGAATACACTGAGAAAAAGAGCCTAGAAAGTCTTTGCTGGAAGCGCGCCATTTATAGCCTTGTCAACCAATTTAGAATTGCTATTAAAAGATATCCAGTAAAAGAAGATGGTTCCCCTGCCATGGACGTGGAATGGCGAGAAGAACTGCTATTAGAAGTCGATGGTGACGACGATGATCATCAGATACCTGTGTTAAACAAAGATGGAATGATGACAATGAAAAAAATTGAACCTAAAGGAAAAGAAAACGGACAGTCTAAAGTTGAAAAGAAGTATGGATCTAGTCTACTTGGTCTCTTTCTCGAGTATTTGGATCGAGTAGATGCATTTTATCAACAGGTCGCTCAATTCCTAAAGAGTACTGAGCCAGATCAAGAAGATCATATACATTCCTACCTCAACCAGTGGAGACGAACAAAAGGCTACAGATGGTACCGGACAGTGCCTCTTCGTGGTGATATTGCCAGGTACAGGTGGACGTATATTCCAGATGAAGGACTTGGCCACTGGTCTCGTCAACAAGCATTTGAAGAGGCTTGGACATGGTACTTTCTCGGTATCTGGCTTATGCCTGCTAGAGGGAACTTGTACTTTAACCTCTCCTTACTACTTCAGACCAAGACTATATCTACCGGATATGATTTTCATAAGCTCTATCTTAGCACACGTAGTCTCATGGTACGTAAAAATAGCTTTTTAAATGCAAGAGAGGGCATGTTGGCACTGTTTGAAGGCAATCGACGCTGGATGAATAAGTTTATAAAGTCAAAGCAAACGAAAAAAGACAAGAAAAAGCAATTACATCAAACTATAGATCAAGGCTATCACACGCTTGTACCTGGTCTGTTTATCAAACTTTATGGTATGCTGTTTACCAAAATTGGACTTGACGAGTTTTCAAAGACTAGGAGGTTGTTTTTTGATAACCTGTTTCCAAGAACTATAACACATTCCATCAACATCAATAGTCAAAATATCATCAAGCCGTTGCCCTCTGATGACAACTTTTTATCAGCTGCAGAACTATTTTGGCTGGAGACAGCCATACTCTGCTTGTCATCCCTCTACAGCTCCGATTATTCAAATTCAAAACTCACAAAGGCCATTTCTGACTATCATCATTCCATGTTTAACAAGACAAGTGCTTCAGAGGATGGCCGAATGATTCAGAGGCTTCAAGACAATGTCCTGTTTGCTTATGCTATAGACATGTCTTGTCAAATTGCTGTAGAGTGTTTTAGAAGATGCCTTGATCCAGAGCTACCACGTATACAAACACCTGCTCTACCACAGTTACCCAATATACCTCTTCGATTGAATGATGAGTTTCTGTTTGGAGACAGGACAGCAACGCCCAACTCAGCAACACAAGAACAAGAAAGACAAAGGACAGAAACAGATTCTTGGTTTATCTATATCGAGATATTACTTCAATGGATTGTTCTAAATGGCGTTTGCTTGCGTAGCAATAACATGCCTTCGTTCTGGGAACGACTGATTAGTGATATAGAGTATGACCTTATCTCAAGAGAATCCAGATTACACAATGATCGCTATCAGTCCTTAATATCGCCTGCGTTCTGGCCACTTTTGGTTCAGTTTCTAAATCATCTGATTTCTCAACTACCTCACGAACTTCTTCATGAAGTGCTGAATAAGCATTTTGTTGATGAAGAGGAAGATGATCAGCATCAAGAAAAGACAAAAGAAAATGCGAGCAAAGAAGAACGACAACTTATGTTGGACATTCAAAAGTTTCTGGGAGACACGCCTAGTCTTCCCGAAGAACATCATCTAAGAGGTCTAGGTTGGATAGATGAGGCTTTTGGTCGCGTGCTGAAATTAAATGAAGGTAAAGCAAAAGCAGAACATTATCCAGAGGGGCTTGATACGACAATGCGACGAAAGATAAAGATTATAGATTATGGTTTTATATTAGTCAAGGTGATATAAATATTGTATTTTATCTAAAAGAAAAACTTACTTTTTTTTTCTTTAAAAAGCATTTGAAAGATATTTTATATTATGATCCTGTCGATCAAGCCATCATTGTTCCTTCCTCCGTCAAGGAACGTATAGTAAATCGTGTCTATAAGGAGCAAGAAAAAGATAAAACAATAGAAAGTCTGTATGACGATGAAGAGGAGCAAGAAGTACCCACGATTGTTGCAGAAATGGATGATGATGTGCTATTGTCGACTGATAAAACAGATTTGAGCGATGAGGAGGAAGAAGACGATATGATGACGCAATTGAAGAAACGAAGAGAGCAGTTACAATCTATGATCACAGCCGATATCGAAAGCAATTACTATCGTCGACTGCCAGCACGGGCAAAGGAAAGAGAGAACAGATTGAATTACTTGCGTGAGCGTATTCTTCCTGATAAAACAGTGCTGGTACTTGATACAAACTGCTTTATTGGCCACCTTGAACATATCAGAAAACTCATTGCGTCCGAAAAATGGTCCATCATTGTTCCTCTTGTTGTCATTACCGAACTGGACGGACTTGCGATCAACACACAGAGGCTAGGTACTATGGCTGGGGAAGCTATTAAGCTGATCGAGTCCACATTAGCAACAAAATCCAAAAAGAGCAACCTGCTTCGAGTACAGACATCGCATAATAGCTTTATGAACAACATCTCTATCCGCTCTGAGCAGTTTGTGTTTGGTGAAAGTGATAAAAACTTGGATGACTTGGTTCTTTCCTGCTGTCTCTGGTGGATTTCACAAAAGAAACATTGTGGCGATGTTGTCCCTGTTTGTTTAGTTACAGGCGATCGTAACTTGAGTGTGAAGGCCCGTGCAAGAGATGTAGAAGTGGTACCCGTGTCTGCCATTATGAGATTAACTCCTAAATAATTCTAGGGAAACATATCCCTTGTTTATTACGTCAAATATAATGCTGAATAAAATGAAAATCAATGAGAAATGTTAAGCTGGTATAATTTGCAGAAGTTGGCTTTGTGCAGCTCTTAGCACAATACTATATCTGTCTTCAAACAGTCCAAGATCTTTGCCGGTCCAAACGTCCTTAATATAGGCTCGTTTTAAGCCAATATCCTCAAACTGGATAGAGACCTCATGACTAAACCCAAGCATGAATATATAAGTGTGAGCATTAATCAAGCACGCGTAAATGCGGCCATCCTTCAGCTTCTTCCACCACACTTGCTTTCTGTTTTGCCATACGTCACCTGAGCCTATGGGCTTAGCCATGATTCCGCTTTGATGGATATCCAGGATTTCTTTATGGTTATACCACGACAGATACTTGTCAGGTATCGTCCTTGGATCCGAGCCTATACAAAATACCGAAGAGACCATAGCCCAAAAGCTGATATAAGTCTGTCTTACTTCGTCATTATCTAACCCGTCTACGCATTTGCCGTTGACAGTCATTCCAACCAAGACGACGTCAAGGTCAATGTAGAACCCATAGTCACTTCCCACCACGCACTTTTGTGCCCATTTTTCACAAGGCGTTATTCGCTGCATGACACGATGAGTGGATGTCATGGTCCTTGTCGAATAGGATTCAATGTCCACATAGATACGTGCTCCGTTCGATATCTGAGCCCATTCGTCTGCATAAGAGTGATCAATGTACCAAGAAATCTCCACCCAAATACCATACTTGTTTAAAGCGTTGTACAACATAACCGTACATGCACGGTTATCAGGTGCTTGGTAAGGATAATATTCATTACCACCACCAGGACCAACTGCGTCCAATTTAACGTAGGATACGCCGTACTCATGGAGTAAATCGGCTATGGATTGATAATAAGCCATGGCAAGTTCATTGTGTGCATCGGGCATAAATGTCGTTCCCGCAAATCCACAGCCTTCTTTTCGGAGCTGGACTAGTTCGTCCACCGTGTGATTTGTGCCTTTTATCCTGCACCTTTTATCAACGGCGTCTTGACGAATGCCTGGTAACAGATAGACACCCAATTTATGTCCATTCTGTTTCAAGTAGTCAGATAGTGCACGGAATCCGTTCGGAAACAAGTCGTCCCGGGCTGCCCATCTACCATATTCATCACATTCAGTACACCTGTGAAGTAGATTAATACTTTTTGTATTTGCTGTGTTTTCTATATTTAGGTACCAGCCAGAATCTAAGTTAATATACTCATAACGAGGTAATTTAACCTTCATGGCATCAGACACTTCTTTGATCTGCTGTTCATTAAACCTAATTCCGAAATTATATATAGATCAAGTAAGTCATTTGTCCTAATATATATCTATACTTTTGGTGTTGCTATGAATACCAAGGGTTCAAATGTTTGCCTCCATAACCTGGAACATCGTCCAGTAGCTGAGACGACCAAGTAGAGAAGCCAAGGACTGGCTTTTTAGCATAGTCTGGTACACTATAATTGGGATTATCAGCCATTAGAAAGGGAGATTTTTTTATTTATTTATTCTCAAAACCTTTTTTTGTTTACTTTTTGTATCATTTTGTTTCTAATGGAAAGAAACCTGCAATTGAATTGACATCAATTTGTTCCAATTTAGCATCAAGCAGGAAACTCTAAACACCCAAAAAAAGTATTCAATATCCGCTCTCTACACCGAAGGAAAGTCCGACATCAACTTTCCAAATTTTGCTGAATCATGTAATAATTTGTTCATAGCATCTTCTTCATTTTTCTTGAGAACGAAGGGTGGTCGTCGTTTGTAATCATCTTGTATAATCCAGTTTTCAGAATATTCACTGCTGCATTGGTGTCTGCTTTCTTCGCTTGAAGGGGTTCTTGATCTTTTGCCAAAGAAATTGGTGTAAACAAATGACAAGTGATGGTATGAAGGGAATTCGTACTCTCTTCGTTCCTTTACTGGCCTGGTTTGCTGCAATAATAAATCCTTTTTTATGTTGGCTTAGGGGCGCTTAAGATAAGATTGATTTCTTCTCGCTGTGCTTCCTTGGATATTATTTGATTAATTTATTTTCTTCATTAGAATAAAATATGAATATATCAGCATTAACCCTTATAGTGTTACCTCTGTAAATATCCTTCCACTATGAGTTCTATGATGATAGAGATGTCTAGTAATATTAGATACAATTCTTTGTCCTTTTCTTAAAGTATTTAATACACTGTCGTTATCATCTTTGAGAATAGCCTAAAGAGGTATGGTGACCATTTTTATACACTTTGCTTGTTGTTGTTGTTGTTCTGTGTTTACTTCCTTCTTTTGTGCTTGAAGCTTTTGATCAGCAAAAAGCTGACCATATATTCTGTTCTTATTTTCTTCCACATATTGACGCCATGATAATATTACAGGAATGTATAGCTCTGTGTAAACATCAGATAATTGCAAGCGAGTAATGATTGTGCTTGGGTTTGTATCGTCTGAAATAAAAGGCATAAGTGTTTATTCAATCCAGCATTTCTGCTTCGCTATCTTCTAACAAACCATTTACTTGATTCCATAATTTTGATGCGTCTTTGTATACATTTAGCAAATTATTTTTTGCTATTTCCCTTTCCTCCAAGTCTTTTAAAAGCACTTCTTCTGTTGGACTTTCTTTTTTTGGATATTTTTTGTATAGGTTTATCATTTCTCGCTTTAACCTTGACTCGAAGGCTTGATAAATGAAGAACTGGCATCTTTCTTTTATTGCTTGTTCCGAGAGGGTAGTAATAGCGTCCACTAGGGATACAGAAGATCAGTTATAAGAAAGAAAGGAAAAGGAAAATGGACAGCAGTAATCAAATTTATTCAAAGGTGACTATAACTCATCCATTGCTGTTTAGTCTATTGATAGCACTGCTAAAATCAGTAACTTTAAAGCTGAAATGGGGTATCAATAAATACACACTCTCTGATGGAACTCCTTTTCTATAAAACGGATATTTTAATCTCAGGCAACTTTTTTAAATAATCCTGTTGATTCTTTTTCTGTTTTGACCTTCATCTTGCTGAGCATACAATGGCGAAAATAAGATAATTATAAGTCTTACAACAATTGCCTCAGAAAAATAAGCAGACATTTTTTTTGTTCATAAATAAGAAATACTAAAAACAATAAAGATATATGCTTCAAAAGAACAATATCAAGTTTTATCTAATTTGAAGATACAGGGTTTAATGCGTATGTTAGGCATTATGTAACGTTTAGGTGAAAATAAGCAAGTCTACTCAAGATACAAAGCTGGTTAGAGATCGTGTTCGCGCTAATCTGAATAGCATGATGTACTCTGGAACGCCAGAAGCATTCGATCTGGCTCATCAGCTGTTTCTTGTTGAAAATAAGGAATTTGAAGTATTCTTTGCGTACTTTAACAGCTTGTGGTTTCCAAGAAAGGAATTGCGGTCTAAAGCGTAGAGACAGATAATCATTAATGCTTGTTGTTCCAGTTTACTAAAATCTGGCTTTTCTGTCTATTTATAGAATGATTATTTCCACACTAATAATTTGGTAGAATCATACCGTAACCTATTAAAGAGTTTCTATAGGGTCGCTCTCGTTCTGTTCGTATTGATCGGCTAGTTTATCTTTTGTCTCAAATTGCTGTAGTAGATTACTACCAAGAAGCCGTTAAATGCAAACTCGGATTTCAAGCTGTAAAATTGATGGTAGAAGAGCAAAAAAAGAAGAAGGCTGCTGATACCCTTGATTATGACATTGCTTGTGGTATGCTAGAGAAAATTGAAGATAATCTGTTTCAATGTAGATCCTTTACATATGATATGTTATACTATGACAGTGAAGTTCGAAACGGTTATCTTTATAGCTGTTCTTGCCCTGAGCCCTCCAAGCCCTGTAAACATATTTTCCTTGTCAGTCGTATATTTCAAGCATCTTTTACAGAACGTTCAAGACTGCGTGTAACTCTTGTTACAGATGAGAATGCCGCCTTGTCTAATACGATTGAAGAAATGCCAAATACTACCTTTGGTAATATTCAAGGCACTAGTAACATGGACGAGCGAAACCTGCGCTTTAATGAACTCATCAACGAAGGAGAAAAGCTTGCTTTGTTAGTTCAGCAAAGGCAAACTAAATGAAATGCTTTTATTGATAAATACTTTGAAAGAAGCAGCTACTGCAATGTATGGCGTTAGAGGATCTTCTCATACATTTCCACCAAGACAATAATAATTTCTTTCCTTTTTTTTACAATTGATATAATAAACACTTTGGGAAAAAAAAAAGCCTATTACACTTAATTCATTAATCTTTACTTCGAAAGTATTCACAAAAAGAAGCTAAATATTTAAGTACCTTTCAATATCGGATATGGCTGCTAAAAACTTAGTAACTTTAAACGCCGCTGCTCCTGTAGTACAGATCAATGGTTCCTCATTCGACAATCACTGTCAGATCAGGTTCACTTTAGTCTAGAGGCCCTTCCCATAATTCTTGGATGATTATAAATAGATGTGCAATCAAGCCAATTATTGTTATTGATTGTAGATGTTAAAAAGTATAAATACTATTGTTTTATTCATCGTAAATAAAGGTATCATCATATATTTCAGCCTCGCTGACTTACTATCCTTTTTCTATTCTTCTTATTATTACTAGTTTTTGTCTCTTACCTTTGTATTTGGCAAAACATCCTCAACATGACGAATGAGATATTATACTGCAAATGTCGATCCATGGTGATATTGGACGAAATATATGTCCAATTAGTCGTTTGTAGAACGTTTCTACAACATGTTATTCATAGATATACAACAAAGAAAGATGATTGAAAAATAACCTTTATTCTATTATAAAATCGTATAGTCTATGTATATAAATAGTCTATATCTCATTTCAATAGAAGGTAATTCTACAATGTCTTTTTAGCCAACTCTTGTCTGAACATGTTAAATCTTTGCATTGCATAACCAAAATAATCAAATTCAATTTCACTTTGACTAGCCTGAACAAGACCCCAAAGACCCCAAAAGAGATGGCAAGCCATCTTCCACAGCTCAACTTCCTCGAGCAACTCGACAGCATGCTGTTGATCATAGGCGGTCAAGAATTGCATTTGCTCTTCTACTGTTGGATAATCCTCAAGATGCATCCTTGCAGGCTCATTGCCATGATAATTGTACATCCATTCACAAAAATGGTTTGCAATGTCATAACCTCGGGGATTATAGCCTGCATATTCGAAATCAATGACAACAAGCTCATTGGTTCCGCTTGTTCTCAGAATATTTCCATACTGTGTCTAAAAAAATAAACTAGGTTAGATGGAAAGGTACGATCAAGCAAAAAAGAAAAAGAAAAAGAAAAACTGCGCCCTACGTCATTGTGTGCAAATACAGTAGGAGTAGATAGTTGATTCAGTAGACGCTTGCATGATTCAATATCCTTGTACAGTTCAGCCAAATCAAGCTTTTGCTCAATCTCTTTGGCCCAACCTGGATCCATGTTAAGAATAGGGAATATTTCACTTTCAAGGGAATTATACCATTTGTCAATGTGTTGCCAGACTTCTAGGGTTTCATTATCTGAAGGAGGAAACGTGTCCACAATAGAATGTAGTTGGTAAAGTCTAGAGGCGATCTGTGCTGAGGTATAAGGATCACGAATATCGTCTCGGGTTAATGTTGTTGATTCGAGATATTCCTCAAATCGACCGTTACCAAAGGTGCCCAAAAGTCTAGGGCCAATACTGAGTTGTGAAAGACGAGAGAGCCAACTTAGTTCTTTATCTCGATCCAAAATTTGTTCACAACCAATACCATAGATGCGCAATAACATACGATGAGAACCAGCATCCACAAAATAGACAGCGCTACAAAGCAAGGAAATGATAAGTACGTTGTATTTTTAATCTATTTTACAGCTTACTTTGTCATTGCTCCACTGACTCGAGTTAGGTTAAAAGTTTGGGTTGTTACAAGCTCTGGAAATAGAGTTGTAACTAATTTCTGAACAGCCCGCTGTAATTCTTTCCCCTTTAATACTCTATTAGGGGAGGATTAGATTGACTATGATTGATACCTTGTCTATATATTACCTCAAGTCAATGGTATATTTACAGTGAGGGATAGCAGTGTGTGCTACAGCAAGAGAATTTGTCACAGGTTGTGGTTGTTTGCTCAAAGGCAATATTCTTACCAAAGAACGACTGTCATCAAATTTCAGCGCAAGACTTATTTTGTTTCGAATAGAGAGTATTTTATTTATAGTAGATAAAAAGGGCTTTTGAATACGGCGTGTTTTAGTAGACATCAATTTTGAAGTAAAGGGCAAGAAAGAAAAAGAAGCGTACAGAAACAAAACAGACTATACTTCAAATTCAGACGATGTTTTTTTTTAGACGAATCAAAATGTCTAAAGTTACATTTTGATTCGTCTAAAAAAAACTAACATCGTCTAAATTTGAAGTAGAAACACTATATTTATCCACATAAATTGAATACCCGACAGGTGCATTCAGATGAGGTCGCGTGACTGAACACGGTTGTGTAAACTTTGATAAAGGGAGCTCTTATCTACAATTTACACAGCGCTTGTCCTTGTGATTATTTGAAAAATACGCTTAGACATAGATTTTATTGTTGTCCCTTCTGAGTGACGCATGGTGCTCATGTGGCCTCCTTTGGTGGTCCAGGTAGTTCCAGTAAAAATCTCTCCTTTGGGTTCAGGACAGAGGAAGCGAGAGCATTGAAATTTGTCCAGATGGCACTGCATTGGTTGTAGACATTGTCCGTTGGTATTACTAGGAAGTACAATTGCCGGTTTTGTGTGCGGGAGGGTTTTGCTGGGGCAACTGTTAAGAATATGAGATATCCTAATGTGATGGAATCGTTGGTGTTTGAGCAATACATGAAAATATAAATTTAAACCAGGTTATACGGTTAAACAATTTTATTTATTAATTTATACAATATAGAGGCCATAAGGGGCACGTGTTATTTTTATTATATCGTTTTTGCCCTGGCCAGTTCAAGCTGTGAGGTAGTATCTAAAAATCCTTCTGGGCTCGAGGGCAAAAATGCTTTGGCTGACAGATTCACGGAACACGTGTTAAAGACGCTGATATGAAGAATTAAATAACCATTTGAGCAGTTTCTGCCTTGGGTCAGATGGTGATGGTGGCTCTTTTTCATGATATAGGTGATCAAGCATATGTAAGATAGCGCAGATTACGGGTCATCTGATAGTCCAAAACGATCTTGTTTGAAAAGAGTGTGGTTTTCGAGTGGGAGGCTTATTTAAAAGGAGGGACAGAAGATCAGTTATAGACTTCGGTATTTGTAGACGGTGACGCATGTCGAGGCAATAGATGGTATGCTGTTTTGTAAGAAGCTGTGAGGTGTGTTGCAGGCAGCGGGTAGTGTTATAACTGGGTAACCAACCAAGACGCCAACATATACATCGACTTCTCTCAGACCTGGTCATTGGTAGCCAAAGGATGAGGTCTAAGGAGATAGTCGGACGACAATGTATAAGAACAGAGGCGTGCGTTGCGTGCTTGTGATTGAGGTTATCTTGGCGGAACTTCCTTTGCATCAATCGTAATGAGCGGCGATCAAGGGATTCTGGGTTTGGTGAGCATATTTTCCAAATGGGGGACCTAGAGAGTTTATGCCATTGGAAGTGACTTCTAGATTGGCGGATCAATGGGAGAAACGCGTTTGTTATGCAGTATTTCCAAAAAGTTTAGACACTGATACCAAGAGTAAATTTTGCGCTTGTTAAATCCTAATGTCACGTTAACCATTGGTTGATTTCGTATATGTAGGAGCTTTGCCGTACAAAATATGGGTATATTAAGCATGAAAGCACTGTCAGTTCTTTTTTTTTTTTTTACTCTCTTTCTCATTAAAAACCGAGTATTACAACGTGTGCTTTCAAATTTTCTATGAAGACGGGCACGGTAATGCAGTTGATGCATACGGTAGACCTAAGACTATGGACTACATCATTGATGAAGAGCGATATGCTTTAGAAACAGTTAGTTCACACACTCAGTATTTGCATAATCAGCCTCAGGAGAATAATTTCGATGTAGGCTCTGTGGCAGATGAAGATGCAAAAGATGACGCAGATGCTTGCATGAAGGAGGCGTCGAGTAAGCGAGTGTACACACTCTATACGGATCAAGACAAAGTTGGATTCTTTAAACTGACGTTTGAGAAAGTTATGAGTGCTTCAGCTGCTGCAAAATAATTAGGTATTCATGTTCGTACAGCTCAGAAATGGGCTCAAATGTACAAAACGGATCCTGATAGTGTTTTTATAAAGCATAAGAAAACCGGTCGCTCGCGTATACTTCAAGAAGAACACAAGTAAGTGATCTTGGAGCGCATATATGAGAATTCTTCAGCCGTCTTGGAGCAAGCAATAGAGTGACTACTTCAAAAGTTTCAGGATCTCAAGGTTTCTAAAAGCACTGTCTACAATTTTGTAAGAACTGAATGTAACTTGTCACTCAAAAAAGCCCAATTTCAGCCTGTAGATAGGAGCAGTGAAGAAAAAATTCAGGAGCGTTTTGACTGGGTTCGTAAGTGGGTGCGTACGGACATGAACTTTAGAACTAATTGCGTCTTTCTCGATAAGTCTGCATTTCATATTAATTTAAAGCGTAGTATGGCCTGGTCAAAAAAAGGATTGCCTGCTGTGGTCACAGTGCCCAAAATCCGAGCACAAACAACAACGATTTTAGGTGCGATCTCTGCTTCAGGATTAATAAAGTGTAGCCTGAGATTACCGCAGACACCAGTCAAGCAGCACCGTATCCATGGAGGGCTTTAGCCGCTTCTTTCAAGTCAGATCTGAGCAGTCTGCCGTTCTTAGTCGGTTCTATGAACATACCATCACAAACCATGATAATGGATACTCCCTCTTTAGCAAGGTCCGTCTTTTAGTGTGTTTCAACAAACAACGTGCCGATCAAAAACTTATTCAAGACTTACGCGCTAAGTTTCGAGAAGACGCTGTGCTTGTGATGGAAAACTGGTCCGCCCCCATGCTAGTTGCCATGAACCTATCCGTGGCTTTAGTTTCCGAAGACTCCTCAAGAAACATGGGTTCCAAGGTTTTTTTATAGACTAGTACAAGACCAGTAGGTACTGTCCAGCATGCCACAACGAAAGCCTCCACACGTTCCGTCGTGTTCCAAATCCACGACTGTATCAACGAGAGCGATATTCTACGGCTGTCTGCCATGATATTTTAAG